TTTTCTATGTGTATTTCATGAAAAACTCTATATTCTTAAAACAAGTTATTTTATATAAATTGCAAACTGGTGGAAAAAGCAAAAGGCTAAAAGTTTCATATAAGAATAAAAAAACCTGGAAAATAAGAGACCAATTAATCACATGCTGCTCCACAACTTACTTCATCTATAAAGGCATAACTAAATTAATCTTTGTATAAATGCTTACATGTAACAAAAATTAGCAAGACATATTGCATCAATTAATAAAAAACCCCTCTGGGGGATACACTGCTTGCACTTTGCAGAAAGAGGAGAGTGGGCACTGCTCTCCTCTCTCCTTTGACCCCACCTGGCCAGAGATCATGTATCTAACTGCAGTGGGGGATGGGATGGAACAGGATGGGATGGAGTGACAAAAACCTGCAGTTGCACGAGTTACGATCATCCTTACTACGCAGTCTCCTGAGTTACAAGCAGAACCAGATGTACTGGACAGTTTCTACTCATTACTCCTGTGTTAACAGTACGCAAAGTATGTGCATAAGTACCGATGTTGGTCTGAGTTTGGCATATTGGGATATCATTGAGTCTGCTTTAAGTAGTCATTTATACTTCAGGGAACTAGTATTTTTAGCTAAAAGTAGGATGCTTTTCACATGTAATTACACTAAAACATCTGCTTAAAGATTACGGTAATTCATGGGTATAAAAGGGAGCAGACTAAGACAGCATAACAATAAAGAGTGGAATAACCTCTGAGAGTTAGTGAGTAAAATTAAGATCAAGAGGTGGGCGAGGGTAGGAGGCTTCCACTTCGAGGGCCAGGGGTGTGACAACAGTTGCTAATTATACAGAGGTTAATGCAAGGTTGCTGGAGGAAACTCAGGATTACACAGGTAAGTAATGCGGCTCGGCTGTTAGGTCAACAAATCCTTTTCAATGAGGAAGAAAGAGACCACAGAAAGGCACAGTAAGGGGGACACTGATGGATAATGTTGAGAATCTTGGCCCAAAGTTATAGAGGTAGTAAGGCTGAAACAATTAATGTTAAGAAAAAGCTGATCAAACTCTGAAAACACAGGTAGTAAATACACATGTGTAGCTTCAGTGAAAGCAGTAACTCAGATTCTTCCTAGATATTAAGTATTTCCCCCATGTGCATTTTGCTGGTTACTCTGTTATATAAAGAGCATTTAAAAGTATATTCATGGACATAATTGTTGTTCTATAGCAGCATTGCCTGATTTCAGCTTAAAAATTCTTCTGCTTCTTCCTGCTTCCATGACTCCTGGTCACAACTAGCCAAATACCTGACGTGCACTCCATTCACACGCAGCAGCATTTTAGATCCAGCACATTCCTCACCAGGCCATTTACACAATTTACATGTGCTGAACAAGGCATGCCAACGCAGATCTTCACTATTTAGGTTCTAATACATAAATTCTACTCAATATAAATAAATAATGAGCTTTGAAGTTTTCTCTATTTTTGTAAGCAACAAGGAAGACTGTTCTATGTAAGACTACTGTCATTTTCCAGGAACAGAAACACTCCCCAAAAGTGATTTAATATACATCAGACAAGGAAGGTTAAGTGCCCCCCACCCCCGGTGTCAGACAAATCCAGATATGTTTGATTTCTTCTTACACGGTGGGGGGAAGCACCTATGCAGCTTTGGCATTGGCCACTACTCAACAAGTAAGAGATAACAGCAAGTAAGCATACAAGCAACAGAACTGATGGGCAGTTGTGAAATAATCTTGCCATTGCTCCATCCCTCAGTACTGCACGGAATTAAAAACATTCCATTTATTTTGGAACAGTATTTGACCTTTGGAAATACCATCTTCTAAAAGTCTCCATTATTGAGTAACTTTGATCTTGGCATATAATTTTTCAATTTATGGTGACTTCTAAACAAAGAACTTAAAACCAGAAGCATGGCTTGTCTGGAATAATCATAGACTTAATAAAATTGCTGCTAACTATGCAATTCTTTAGTACCAGTTAATCTAATTATGAACTGAAATATCAGAGTAAGAGCGCTCTAACTTACCATTATGGTTTGTAAAAGTTGTTTCCTTTCCTGTTTCCGAAGACAGCTTCCTTTTTTTTTTTTTTTTTTGCATCCTGAACTTCACTATACTACAAAGATTCAGTTCCCTGTCTAATGTTTTTATTATCTGTATCATCATTTCTGCTAAGAAGTCCACTCATTGCTGAGGCTGTATAGTGCCCACTCATGAGGCAACCAGAACAAGAACACTGATCCTGCCACAAAGAATTTCCAATCTAAATGAACGGACAGACAGCCGAGAGTGAGGAAACAAAACGACCCTGATCAGCATGCCAGGAATCCACAAACCAGTCACTCGTGCTTTCTAAGGTGAAGGGCTTTGTACAGAGTCTACAGGGGCTGCTCGGCAGATTTTTACAAAGACCTTTGCTCAAGCTTAGGGGAAAGCAAGGAAAAAACGCACTCAGCTGAAAAGTGATGTGAATAGTGTAATTAGTGTTGGAGCTGGCGTCTTACCAAGGAAGTCACTGACAGGAAATCGTTACAGGTTCCAGAGTGCCCTCAGAAACGAGAACAAGTGACTTGGGCTTTACCCAGTGGGGAAGGGGAAGTCAGAGAAAGGATGCAGAGTTTTAACTGGTTTTAATCAATATAAAACAATCTGTAATCTGTGTAGAACAGTCCATGCCATGCTGCAATTAACTTTTTGCAAAAGAGACTACAGACCCATCTGACAGTTCTTGGATGAAGGTCTGTAGAACTACCAACACCATTAGGTTCTCAACACCAGAGGGGATACAATTAAGCCAGTACACCTCTGCAACCCCTCCATTCAAGACCCAAGGTCAAGACAAATTGTGTTGAAAATACACATACACACAGAGAATTTTTCCCACTTGAAGAGTAACGAGACAGCGGCATGCTGAATTACTCTAGCACAGATAGAAGCCCCTGGCACAGAGCTCCTCAGCTGTCTTAGTAACAGCCCGTTAACTTACATGCTCACTATCAACTTTCTATGCCGGAGGAGTACACACAGCACAACAAGGCAAACTATTAAAATTTAAAACAATAAAAAAAGTGCTGTTATTTAATTCTTGTTCTATACAACCTCTGTCTTCTCTCCCAAAACACATGTAAAAGTGAGGAGATAAGCAGATGAGATTTTTTGAAAGTTCACAGTAGACAGTTTCAGAAACAAACGCCACTTCACCTGGATCTGTAAAGCAGTGCAAAAGCAAGCACAGCAGCTGGATTTGAAACCAGCTCTCCACAACAAAGAGGCAATACAGATAATGCAAGCTACACTGAAATAGCTACAGTTCACATTACATGACTGGCTCGACTCAGTTTTGTCTGTCAGGACTTGTCAAATAACAGTAATAAGAAACAGCACAAAGGCTTTTTCTTAATAAATTTTAATGTTAAGACCAGTTTGTCTGGATAAAAACACAAAGTTACAAGAACCACACTACTGCAAATTCTGCATGATGCACAGTAGTGCTCGCAATATTTGAGTGGCAAGATCATTTTGGAACTGTTTACGAAAGATATGTCAAAGACAGAATCTTAGCATAAGTAAGAATGTATGTTACCAGTGAATTTAATATTGTGAAAATATATCTGTTGCACAATGTACACCACTGTAAATAGTCAAATGCAGTATTTATCCACATCAAAAATATAGGGGGCGAATACTCCATTTAGCATTTAAGTCAGCAACAGTGAATGAGAGAGAAATATTTTGGTTATTTTTCTATGATTTCATTTAACTGGAAAATTTCCTAATAAATCACTCCAAAGGGTAATATTTGTGGTTCAAAACCATCAGGACAACAATAATTCTGTCCAATAGTAGTTTCTGACCTCCTGGTAGTGACAGCCTAATCCTCCTGCCACTAGATTCAGATGCATTTGGCTTGTGCTCACTGCCTCAGAACATGAGTCCAGACACCAAAAAATGAACTACCACCATCACAGCCTGGACCACATGAGCTCAAAACACGTCAGAGCAGAGATGCAACATCAATAAAAGGAGATGACACTCTCAAAGCACCTGCCAGATTCTCAAGTATTAATTATATACATGTATGGTTAAGTACAGAATACTGAAGGACAGTGTACCGAGTAGCAAGTTAAATGTTCCATCAATTTTCTGATTACTGCAATGGATACTCACATTTCCCCCATTTAATCTAGGAAAGATATGCAATCTAAGCATGTGATTTGATGCTACTTAAAGCTTTGCCATACTGTTATGTATTTTCTTTAAAATATCTACATAAAAAAACCCCAAGCATTACTGCAAAATAACTCTATCTACATATAGAAATAACACAGACTTGAATTGGTGGCTCTTGTTTGACTGTGCCCTTGCAAAGAAACCTGCTAACTTTTCCTCACCTGTTTAATAGCATAGGTATTTCTCTGCCCCACAGGCAATAAACGTACCTGACAAATCACATCCTCAACATTATTCCTACAAAAATTCACAGTGACCAATTCCGAAAGAAAAGAGACTTTTTGTTGTTGGTTTTTTTTTTTTTTTTAAAGTAATTGTGTAATATAAAATTCATACAACAATTTGCGACTTCGGTAACTTCCAGAAAAAAGATTCCAAGCTTTTTAATTAAGGACCAGGTCAGAATGTTGCTTACACTGTGCTCTTTGTTTCTCTGCAAACACATCTGATAAGATTCTATTCCTGCTCGAGGTCCTGAAAAATTATATTATTGATAAGAAGTTGGCTACAATTTAAGTTGTGAACCTATCTAATTTTCCTTGGTACCTTTAAATACTTCAATCATCTAGTCTTAGTACATTTTTTAACTTACTGTTTCAATTCAGGAAATCCTGATTCCCAAAGCCCCCCGCCACCCCCCACCCCCCCGCTCCCAACCAAACAAAATCCCAGCTGAGCCTCAACAAGTACATCTGAATTCTCGGAAGAGGAAATATTTTCTTGATTTAACAGCAACTGTACAATATTACAAACTCAGACACATGAAAAACAATCAGGCAATAGAAAAATGTACAACAGCTTTGGTGTTATACAAAATAATAAAAAAGACCTGACAGCAAGATACATAGTTCATTATGTTCTCACCACAGCCACTTCATTGCTGACTGTAAGACAGTTATTTACTTTTGATATTCTCTGTGTGGCCTTTCCACTCATGAAAAATCATACTATATTACTACAATAAGAACTGTTATGAACACCATAAAGTAAGCTCCAAATTTTATAAAAACATCTTGCCTCTTCGCACTATTGCTTTGTGGCACATTGTCAACAGAACAGCAGTCCAAAATAAAGTGACAACTAGATTTAATAAATTAATATACTTTTTTTAAAGATGTACAATGCACATTCTTTTTAATCCAAGGTTTTAGGGTGTCAGGATACTTCTATTTACACATATACAGACCTCAGACAGCATTGATAACATCAGAAAACGCAGATAAGGAACAGAGCCTTAACTGCTATCTGGATGCTGCTAACAGAAGCCGAAACACTGCTGAGAGTATTATTGGGAGAGATATCCAAAGACTGAAGAAGAGTCTATGAAAAAAGGACATGTAAAGGCAAAGGGAAGGTCAAGATGTTTAATATGACCATCTATTCTTGTGAAGACTGAGGTGGAGTTGTTGATGTGCCTTGTTTACCAGACTTTCGTTCATAATTCACAAGTCGTTGCCCAACGAGGTACCTAGGATTATAGTAAAAACAGTTAGAAATTAACAAAAGTTAATACAATTCTGTAACACAAACCTACTCTATCTCCTCTGCTGCAGAAGCAGTTTTCTCATTTGAATAAGAGTTATTCCACAAGTGATCCCTCACCCCTTAAAGGTCTTCAACCATCCTCACCTCTTTTCTCAACATTCAGGCATTTCACAATGGCGTACAGCCATTACAGGGTTGTGTTTACAGCCTTAACTTCAGTGGTCACGCAATTCAGACAGATACATGTCATGGGTTTGCGTGGCAAGGTTTTGATAGTGGGAGGGTTCCAGGGGTGGCTTCTGTGAGAAGCTGCTAGAAGCTTCCCCATGTCCAATAGAGCCAATGCCAGTTGGCCCAAAGACAGACCCACCACTGGCCAAGGCCGAGACCATCAGTGATGGTGGTAGCACCTCTGGGATAACGTGTTTAAGAAGGTGGGAAAAAAGTTACTGCACAGGAGCAGCTGCAGCCGGAGAAGGGAGTGAGAATATGTGACAGCAACAACTCTGCAGACACTGAGGTCAGGGAAGCAGGAGGAGGAGGAGATGCTCCAGGTGCTGGAGCAGAGATTCCCCTGCGGCCTGTGGTGAAGACCATGGTGAGGCAGGCTGTGCCCCTGCAGCCCATGAAGGTCCATGGTGGAGCAAGTATCTGTCTACAACCCATAGAGGACCCCATGTCACAGCAGGTGAATGCCTGAAGGAGGCTGTGACCCCATGGGAGCCCCACACTGGAGCACGTTTGCTGGCAGGACTTGTGACCCTGTGGGGGACCCATGCTGGAGCAGTTCATGAAGAACTGCAGCCTGTGGGAAGGGCTTCCTTTGGAGAAGTTCATGGAGGACTGTCTCCCATTGGAGGGACCCCATGCTGCAGCACGGGAAGAGTGTGAGGAGTCCTCCTCATGAGGAGGAAGGGGCGGCAGAGACAGCGTGTGATGAACCGACTGCAACCCTCATCCCTGTCCCTCTGTGCTGCTCGGGGGGAGAAGGCAGGGAAACTGGGAACAAAGGTGAGTCCAGGGAGAAGGGAGGGGTGGAAAGGTGTGTTTAAGATTTGTGTTTATTTCTCATTATCCTACTTTGATTTGACTGGTAATAAACTAAGTTATTCCCCAAGTCGAGTCTGTTTTGCCTGTGATGGCAATTAGTAAGTGATCTCTCCCTACCCTTATCTTGATCCACAAGCTTTTCATTGTATTTTCTCTCCCCTGTTTAGTTGAGGAGGGGAGTGACAGAGCTGCTTTGGTGGGCACCTGGCATCCAGCCAGGGTCAACCCACCACAATACATAAGCTGAATGAAGATATGAAATACAAAAATGTGTTTGCACTATTTATATGCCCATCCCGTTTGCTGGATGATACTTCTAAAAGCATCTTCAGTGTCTGAGCCACTGCCACTTGAATGTCTGGAACAACAACTCAGATATAAGACCAAACAAGAGTGCTAAGGAGGCTATAAGTTCAAAAAAGAATCTGCCACAAAAGAAGCCTAGGAAGACTAGTTGCTAGGGTCCAAACCTCATTTTTCTAAATAACCAAACACATGAGGTAATTTGGGTAACAAAAAATAAGATAAGGACAACACAAAATAAGCTTAAAAACTAAGCAGGGTAGCCAGAAGAAACACTGGGAAAATTAATATTTTGTCAGGCATCCGAGTAATACAGAGTAGCAATTACTGAAAACATCAGAAAACAGTACAAAATTTGGTAAGGACAAACTATCAAATCAACTGAATGTTCTTTAACAGTTTAATTGGAATAACAAGTAGAATGAATTAGAAAAGCAGTTACGCAGAAAAGGTTGGAGAAATGGTTTTATAAGGGGCAAATTGAGACATGATTTTACTTCCAGATGTCATAATTATTACAATCACTTGCCCTTCAAGACTACAGAGGGGGAGACAAACAAGTTAGACATAGGGGAGTGTCTTCCGTTTATAAAGACAGTCTATTCCTGTGTTTATCTACCTGAATCACAGGTAAAACATTTGCCAAGAACAGTTTAGGTCTGCCTCAGAAGGTCATTTGTCTAGAAAGCGTCTTAAAATCCCTTTTAGCCCTAAGTATCTACAACACCTGAATTCAATCTGAAGTTGTTACCATAATTTAAAGTGGAAAAATCAAAAAATCCACACTATATACTCACTTGTCATTTTTAATATGTTCATAAAGGCGCTTGAACTGGCGGACTTGGAAGGAGAGAATTCCCATCAAAACCACCACCATAAGCAGAAAAGGATAAATCCGTCGCTGAACTAGGTTTTGCATTTCAGCCGTAACTCCTATAAAACAAGACACAACCCTCACATCATCTAACACCTGCTCTTCTTTTTCATCTGAAGCATTAAAGCTGAAAGTTTTCCATTAACACAGTGAAAATCCACAATAAAAAAAAATGGCTTATCAGCTCTTCTTGCTTACTGACTTCTGTATACCTCGTATCAGAAAAAAGCTGACACTATAGAAGTCTGCACTCAAGTGAGAGGTTGAAGAATAAAATGGGACTTCTTGAACATGTTGTTAACATCAAAACTAACTAGCAAAAGACAACTGTTGATGAAAAAGCACATCTACCCTGCTTGTAATGAAATTATTTCCCTCAATTATAAGCAGATAGGAAAGTCTGAACCCCCCCATATTTACAATTTACATTTTCTTTTAATAATGAATGAAAACCTCAAAACAAAACCAGTATTTTCACCTGTTCTAACCTTGCTTTAGAATCCGACAAGTCAGAAAATACGACCTCAGCTCAGCACATCTCTCAGAGAGAGACTAAAATTAAAGGTTGACCGTCCAAAGAAGAAATTAATTAATTATCCCTTTCCCAAACTAGCTAGATACCTACATTTCTTCTGTTAGATATTATGCAGTTCCATACTCTTGATGTACTCTGCACTTAGTTTTTCCAAATGCCAGTGAGAATGATGTATTGCACTTCTCAAAAAGTCTCAAACTTTTAAGATGACAGCAATCCTTAAGCATTTATCTTTGCTGGCAGAATAGTGCTTTGTTGTTTGTTTGTTTTTTAAAATAACCTAGAGTTTGAAGTTTTATTTCCACAGATATATTTACATTGCTCTAAACCATCATCTGAATGCATACATACCTAATAGAGGTACAACCCCAGAAGCTATGATGTATGGTACACACAGGGAAAGTAACAAAACAGAGATTACGGGTGCTGCCAGTTTACGGATTATGAAGTGTAAATCAATGTTACGGATCCCATTTGCATATACCTAAAAAGAACAAGTTAGAAATAGAATGGATCAATCGAGAAAGCCATGGTTTGCGCTTACAGTAATAATTACAAGGTTTTACACAATTCTCCTTATGAGAGAAAACGGGTGTTCCCAAGACAGATATGGTTGAACAAAACCATGGTGGCCACAGTCGAAGAAGGAAAAAGCTCTGTGCTAATCTACATCGTGAGTGATCCAGGAAATCACCGAAATAGTGCCCAGGAGAGCAACTTAATCTGGAATAGTCTTCTGATTTGGTGCTGTTAACCTGCTGAAAGAGGATCCTCTGCACGCTAATAGACCAAATCTATTACACAGGCAGAAAATAGGATCTTATTTCGTACTTGGTTGGGTGGACCAGAGCCTCTGCATGTGGAGCCTGTGCCTGAAGACAGGGCCTCCACAATTCTCGAGTTTCTGCAGCTACTACTAGGAGCTAAGGTCTCATGACTAGACTAACAATGGGAAAGGACCGATTTCAAGTGGCTGCCATGTAGAGCTAGATGATAGCCTCTGTCCCACAGCCTGGATGTAAGCATTTCTAAGGATGGCTCAGGAGAGTGTGTGTACAACAAACAGGCCCAGGGAATGAAAGGAAGAGCTATGGTATGTACCAAAAGGTACTCACAGCACTAAGACTACATTTCTCCAGTGTGACACCTAAAGTGATCAGTAAATGGTTTAATAGCTGGGACTATGTGCTAGACTTAATCAAGAGAGGCACCTTTGTACAGAGGTCAGCACAGGCACCATAGCCATTACATACAGTGCAGGGCTGAAAAGTTACTTTTCAACAATTGAGATACTTCATTGAGATGTCAAGCATACAACTTGAAGTTTATAATCAAGAAAAAAATACTTCTGCCAAAGAAAGGAACAGACTATGTGACTCAGCACTGCTCGCAGAAACTGTTCTGTCTTGCTTAATAAACAAAGGGGAACGGAAATGGTGTCTTTCATATGCACCCATCTATGAATGAAGCAACCTCTGCAGCTCTAGAGAAGGCAGAAATTCCCTGTTCTTGAGTGGTGGACATAAATAATGTCCAGTATTTGTACACAGGTAAATTCATCTGAAGAAACAACGATGTTTCTCACTTTAATACAAACCTGAGAAAGTTACATATATGTATACACGTTTTCTTGATTTCAGATTTCTGAGGTTTATTTTTGTTTTGCTGTTAAGTGTACCTTAATGGATTAAGCTATATGATTTAAAAGTATTCTACAAGACTAGTTGAATTTTACTCAGTTACTCAGATTACTCCATTACTACAACAGTAACTCCGTTTTCTGACTCACACATTCAAAAAACATTCAAAATATATTATACAGATAGTTCACATGGACAATTTTTTCCTACCTGTTCAATAACAGTTTTCAGCCACCACTGGGGACCCATCAGTGTTATGGCAGCAATTATTTTGGCATGCAGAACTCCAAGGGCCCAGTCCTGATTTTGTAAAAATGGACTGTTAGTATTAATGTATTTTTAAATAGTTTGACAAGCAAAAGCTTTTAAAGCAACTCGTTAATATTACTTGTAAGGGAAAATAAAATTATTTTCCTATTTACATGGGACATTGTTTAAAAGAGGTGACATCTGCAAACTCCTAAGAAAAAGAGGATGCTCTCAAGCTTAACTGACATCTGTAAAACAGGCAGCTCCCTACAACTAGCAAAATCAGCTACTAGTATTAAACCAAAGCAAATACAAAATAAAAGCATTACATTTACTTAAAGTAACTTAAAGTTACTCAAGACTACCATTTTGGTACAAACTAATTAATACTAGTAACATTTACCTAGGAATAAGTTATTTTGATTCCTTTAAAACAGAAGAGAAACAAGATACAAAGATGTTCACACAAGTCAGGAAACAAGGGTTTTTTTCTTCTTTTAAATTTTAGTTGTTCACAAAACCCCTACCCTGAGAAAAGCTAAACAAAGCAAGGCAATGCTCTTCACAAAAGAATATCATACTATTCAGAGGAAAATTTATGCTTTAACATATACCACAATTATTATGGCATGGAATTAAAAGAACACAATATAACTACAGACTGCTAGTAAATGCTGCACATCATGAGTCAATCCTTTCTGGATTACAGATATTTGTAAGGGATTGTCCAGTAAAACCCACCAAAACCAGAATGCAAAGTATAGGTTGACAAAGCAGAATAAACAGCTACAGAAGTGGTAAGACTTAAGACCTCATAGATTAATTAACTTTCTTAAAACGCTGAGGAAATACATTTACTTTAACCACTTATTTAAAAAGGCAGCCTTTGATAACAAATATGACCCCAGATACTTCACAAATTTAAAAATTTGTTACAAAAAAATCAGTGTTAAAGTTACTTCGTGTATGCTCAAGCATGTAACCTTTGTATAACTATATTCTCTTTTGTGAAAAACGGAAATTATTCTCAATAGCTCCTTGTTAATTTAGAGCAAGTGTCAAATCCCTCTAACCCAATATCTTGAGGAAGCTCTACCACGTAAAAATAAAATCTTTCTGTATATTTACTTCCAAACCTTTCAAGAACTAGACGCAAAATTTAAGAATTTTTAGAATCTCTAGCACTACAGATTCTTTCCAAAACTGTCTGGAAACCATGATCATCTACCACTGCTATGATATGATGTCCTGACTTATTAATCATTTACTTAAACAGACACCTCCAAAGTATACTTATATTATAAAATAATGGAATATTTACATTAGCAGTCAAATTCTTCTTTGTATTACAGCTTCCAAACATTTGGATACTGAAAGTAAATGTCAGCTTGTTTGTGAGCAGCTTAGAAAATCATTATCCCTCAACACTTTCTTGTTATTTAGTAATATGCATTCTAGATCTTTTGAGTTATGGCTCCCTCAATTAGGGTGTCTTTGAGTTACAAGTTTTGCATAATTCAGCCTAGCTGATGCAAGCAGTTGTCACTCAATCCACCGAACCTTCATTTCTTCCACCAACTTGCAGGAACAAAGTTTGCACGCCGTTAACCTGTGAGACTTGACTGAAAAAAACCAAACCGCTACTACCTCAAAATCTTGTATTAATGATTTGACATCTCAACCTAAAACTAGATCCTAAAGCATATAAAAATTCCATTCATAGTGTATATCATCACTATATACTAAAATTGGTACAAAAAAAAGATCAGCTGAACCTCTTGTTGCATAATTAGGGGCAGAAAGCTTTCCAGAAAGGTCAGACAGAATATGTATGTCTGTGCATGTGTACATACAGCTATACTAACTCCTGTACATAACTTTACAATTATGCTACTGAAAAAAAGTGTCTATCTGATCACTGAAATACAAAGATCCTCTGATGTCATCCCACAAAGTTCAGCTTTTCATACTTAAAATTCCTAAGCGTATCCTTTCGGTTTAAACAATCTTCACATCCAGACTGGCTGTCTTTCCTCTGCCACACAGAAACATACTTATGGAAAACACACTGAACCAACATGAAACAAGAACTCCCATAGCCTTACTTCTAAGTAAACAAACATATCAACAGCAGAAAAAGAATGGGAGCAACTGACCTGCCATGGATAGAAGAGAGGCGTTTGATCCAAAGGAACTCTCAAAGGTGCAACGATGACCAGTTCAAACAGAAGACCAAGCAAAAGTGGAACCACACCAGCTAGCAGTATAGCCACTATTAATGTCTTCATTATCTGAAAAAAACAAGACCTCTAACTAATAGGTTTATCAGAGCATTCTTTTTGCTTAAACTTTAAAATGCAACTTAATCTAGACAAACAGATAGAGCTGGAGAACAACATTACACAGACCTTTAACTCATACATATACACCCCTAGAAATAATTTTTATTACATACATAGTGTGGCAATGCAAGTCTTCAAGATTGGGTCCTATTTTGTGTCCCCTCCAGAAAAAAGCACGACTGTGCCTACTGATGTCCATATAGTTTTAAACCTTAGAATCACGTCTGACTTATCAGTAGGGAATACTATCCAACGCCACTTCCATTATATTGAGTATTCTTACGTGTTGTGAAATTAGAGAAGAATCTTTCCAAAACAGGCATTTTTTCTCCAGTGAAAACCAAACCTTAAAAATTCACTCATTATGGAGTATTTCTGACTTAAAAATGAAAGACTCAGTTAGAATACCATGCTTGAATCTATCTTTATCCTAGAATTCTCTTAATTTACATGCATCATCCAAAAATCTGATACAAAACTAGTCTGGCTTAATTAACATGACCAGGAGAATGGACAAAGGACAAGTAGAACATTACATTTTAGCTCTGAATTTTTTTAAACAAGCTTAAGATTTCCTACATGAAAATGATGAATGAGATATTTGGGAAGCGTGGTAATACATGAAATACACACATGCTGCTGTCCTGTAACAAGCACACAAGCACATCCATCACAAGATACTATTTATGCTATGAATGTTTAAAATTTCTGTACTTAGGCATGAGATCTACAACAGAAATCCTCAAAATCAAGATAAAAAGGTGGGATTTAAATGCATTACCATGGTGAGAACTCTGAACTTTAATAAAAAAGGATATTTTCTTTAAAAATGTTAATTTGAACAACAGAAAGACCTGACAAATCATAAAGATCTTTCTGAAAGTATGCATCAAGCTACTTTGTAGAGACGTGTTCATCATCATCTATCAGCTTTACTAGTTGTTTTTTCATTTGATGATGTCAGGTTGCTAAAGGAGTAATAGCCAAGCTTCCAGGTGTATGTGAAAACATAAATGTTTCTGAGGACACATCACATATGGGATAATACAATGCAACTTATTCACTTTTAAAGGAAACCATGAAAACATACACACACATATATATATAAACATAAATACGCAAACTTATTTAACACTGATGGCTTAAGGTTGTGCTAAATGGCTTCCAAAAATACAGTTAGCCTGTGCAATGGCAACATAAGCTGCAAAAGCTTCAAAATGGTCTGAAAAGGAAAATGTAGCATACAGTACAGAGTAAAACCTGCAAACAAAAATGAAACAAGAAGTTTTGTCAGATACTTTGTCGGTAATTCGGTAAAATTTTTTCTTAGGACTCACCATGAGAGACCATTCTTTGACCTTCTGAAAAATCACTCTTCGACCCTGTGGCATCCAGGCGACCAGCACTGTCACTGCTCGGATAGTTAGCCAACAGACATAGAGACCACAGGCAGCTGTGTACAGTTCATGGATTTTGGCAGTCCCCGTCCAAAATGACATTAGCCATCGGCCAGCAAATACTGAAAACACAAACACTGTTAAATAGAGTAACGCTTTTTGACGTATTAAGGAAGGATGCCTATTAAAAAAATATTTGTCACATTTATTGTTAAATATCAATACACCGATAGTATTCAGCATAAAATAGTTTTGGTACTATACCCATAAGGCACAAAAGTGTGAAGCACTATGTAAATAGTTACATAGGTGATGCCAAATACATATATAGAATTTTTTTTCCTAAAATTTCATTACACCAGCAATGTGATCTGAACTACAGCAAAACGAAGCACCGAATACTGCACTACTCTGAGCCTAAACACTAACCTTCAGAACTGCAAAGGTAATAATGGATTAGTGCATAAGCTTGAACTTAAATCTTATGAGCTATGTTTGGTTTATTTCACCGCCTCATATAATTTTTTTAAGACTTGCTGACGGTGCTTTGGAAGTTCTCTGACAAAAATGGGAGACATTTGCTACATTTCATTTTTAATAGTGTTCATATTCATTAATATTATAGTGGAATTATTTAACATACTGCTATTGAAATCATCACAAAATTCAACACATTATTGGCTTTAGGATCATTAATACAAAGAGGTAAAAATAACATGGTACTACAGTAGCCAGGTTATAAAATTTGAATGAGTTTACATGTCTTAATTTATTCCAAATTCTTAAAAAAACCCCGAGTACAAAGTACATTTGATTTGGTCAAAGTACATATTCATACATATTTGAAAAGTGGTATGTATACCACTTCAAAGTCTCCTAGTGACCTGTCATGATGAAACCTTCAAAATATCTAATTAAAGAAGACACTGCAGAAGACCTGGTAACAACCCCTGTATTTTCCTTCTCTAAAGGGTAAAGCAGGTGCAAGAGTTTCAATTCTCTTTTTCTCTCAATACTACTATAGAGATTGTCTCAGTGCTTGGAGCCCTGCTCTTAAAAGAAAATTACAACAAAAAGGAAATGGCAGTCTCTGTCATTTAAATACAGGTATTATCTTTATTGTCTAGATTTTAGATTATTACAATTTGATGATGTACCATTAAAAATGAGACCTAATTTTCCATGTTTTCTCCTTTTAACTTGAAACAATGCTTTCAAAACATCTGCCATTGTTGAGCATGGCAACATGCCGAGTTGTTTTTAATCACAGTTTTACAATAATAGACTTACCTGGTAAGGTAAGGCAGATAAGACTAGCAATCAGCAATGTTATGCACATGAAAACAATCAAAAGAAATATCTGAAAGAGAAAAAAAAAAAAAAAAAAAAAGTTTATAACAAAGTTACTTAACTAAAGGCAAAAAAAACCCATATGAAAAGCTGTATGATCCTAGAAAGTCAGCTAAACTACAAAGTTCAAATACCAATTGATGTTTCACTGTATAAACACATCGGCGATACGAAACCTATCCACAGGCCATGCAGCACACCTATAGTGCCGTGTATTTAAGAGTTTGCAAAATTTGTCAAACAGTAAAAATTAACATTTGAATACAGAATGATTGAAGCTCTTTGTTATGTTACACTAAAAAATAATCTCTTTATTTCTGCACTGACCAGCACAACAGCTGTTAATTAACCCTGAAAGGTTTCCAGCTCTGTATGCCAGATAAGCAAGACAGTGGTTTTACAATAAGGAAAACCTTGCTGAGAAAGCTCTTCCAGATGCCCTCAGGTTTCTGTGACCAGCAGCTGATAGCAAAGCTGGCAGCTCCTTAATCAGGTTTACATCTCATCAGAGAATTCTCATGCACTTGACTTCTTTAAACGAATGTCTCAAGCACCATGTGCTATGAAGTTCTGCTTCACTAATCATCCAAGCCACACAACAAGCAAGCTTACTGTGAGAAAACTAGAATCTTATCATAAAAGATTACTGACAAAGTTAAATCTGCAACACACATTTTCCTTGATGAGACTTTTGGGGACAATGTAGATTAGTCTCGTCTCTAGGTTAGGATCTTCAGCACTGCTTAAAGGAAGGAAAATCTTGTGATTTTGTAGACATTAGCCTGCGTGAAGAGGTGTGATTCCATGACACCAAATTACTTGCCAGGTGACAGCCACACACCCTTTTCCACACAGAATATTCTCTTTAGGCTTAGGGATCCCAGATGATAGAAAGAAGAAAACCAGAGTAGCTGACAACTGGACTGCAGGCAAAAAAACCTCCTCAATGGTGAGGAACATATGGTGTGACTTGCTTGGGACCAATACTGTCTAAATTCCCTAAATTGCTTAGGGAATGCTGAAGAACAGTCAGTTCATGTGGAAATAATAATAAAAACTGAATATAAACCACCTTCTTGGTTCTTACAACTTGGTTAAAACGAAAAAAAAATTAATGGAAGCACAGAAAAGATCAGATGTTTATACTATTATTTTTTCTTCTGAAATGCTTAAAAACCCAATTGTGGAAGTAATCAAAATACGGTGTTGTTCCATAGTGGAAGTCTGTGTGGGAGACACATTTTTTGTAAGATGAACTTACCCAAGTAAAACCAAGGTCAATATACCAAAAATCGTAATTGAAGCACCTACAGTGTTCCTGAATGAACCATTATTTAAATATTTCAAACAAGAGGAATCAGGGACATAGAATTGTATCACTGAGCTATCATGTGTTTGAGAGTCTTTTCATCAAGAGATATGACAAGCACTTGCACAATGGAAAGAAATCCAGTTAAATCAGATCTTTTTTTTTTTTAATTTCTATATTCTGTAGAAGTCTCTAGAGAACAACTTAAAACGTCTAGACAACGGCAAGTAAACCAGAAAAAAAAAAACAGTCTTTGACAGTGTTGTGGTTTAACCCCAGCCAGCAACTAAATACCACACAGCTGCTCAGTCTCTCCTTCCCCCTCCCAGTGGGATAGGGAGAAGTGAAAAAAAGTAAAACTCATAGGTTGAGATATCCCTTTGGCTAGTTCGGGTCAGCTGTCCTTCCCATGCTCCCTCCCAGCTTCTTGTGCACCTGCTTGCTGGCAGAGCATGGGAAACTGAAAAATCCTTGACATGGGATAAGCGCTACATAGCCGCAATGGAAACATCAGTGTGGTATCAACATTATTCTCACATTAAATCCAAAACACAGCACAGTATCAGCTACTAGGAAGAAAACGAACTCTATCGTTTGACCTACAGATTACTCTAGAAAGTGAAGTGTTTTCCAACAAAATTTCCTTTCTAACTTCTAAATTCCTAATTGCAGGGATTTAGAACTTTCAAGCATTGTAACATGTTTCTACGTTTAATATAGATGCAACAGAAGTTCTCAATTGAATTTCTTAATAAAGCAAAATAGTTTAAAACACACTTCAGCTACAAGACTGAAGCACACCCTCTTTAAAGCCATGCCTTGTTAGAGACACTCCTGAACCTGTTTGCTGAGGGGGTTATTGTATTTCTGTCTATTACTACCATCAGGAAAATAAGACGTGAACTAATAGATAATACAGAACATGTATGGGAGCTATAAATAAAATGGTAATTGAAGGTCTTAAGTTACAGGCTGAAAGATGCTATATGTGAGAATAACTTTTTAGAAAGATGTAAACTGTACAAACCAAAAAACAATATGCCCCACCACTTGCCTCCTGATAACATGTGGACCAAATCTGTTATAAAAAATTGTAACCATTTTTCAAATGCCTTTCCCTTTTCTCTTAATGTGTAAAGATATACCTACCCTGAGTGGGAATTTTAAAGGCCTACGATAAGGCTGGAAACCCACAGGTCCTCCTTGTTGAAGTATGGCTTGATGGGCTGCATGAAGACCTTCTCCCACAACTGGAATGGCATTATTATTGCGAGCATGCTGGTTGTTAGGCTGCTGGTTTGCATTGTTTTCATTCTCTTCCTGGTCACCAAGTAGGTAAGAATGGAGATCCCTGTAACAAACACAACTTCTGTTTTGTTCTGTTTGATATGAATGAGAATCTTACAGAAAGACAGGCCTACTCAGAATGAGTACAAGTTGTACAAAACTCATACAGGATTACTGGCAGAATCTTGATTAAGTTAAATAAACCATTTTCTGATAATGTATTCAATGGCAACCTAAACACAAAATTTAGAATAAAAATGCTAGTGTGCATGCAGTTAGTGTGCACTGTTACAGCAGTGGGAACACAGCCACAAATAAAGGTCACTTATCATTTGACTGCTTTAAAAACAACACCTGGTATTAAAGTTTTGCATATAAAAGGAAAATTGCATCAATATTTCCATTCGTGTATGCAGGCAGCTCAACTGACAGCTTTTATTTTACTGCTACTGAGCTCTATTGGAAACAGTTGCCTTCAAATCAAAACTGTACAAGGACAGTACTGTATTGTTATAAACACGTTTTCAAAAGTATAGAGTCAGGCAGACTCTTTCAAGAAGATTCTAAATTGCTCAAAACCTGTTCATGACTTTCTAAGAACATCAATCCCAGAAAAAGACAATCTACTTTAAAAAGTACTCTGTTGATATTTCCTGCATACATCATTAGCAAATAGATATTTGAGTCTAAAAAAACCTATGAACATTTAGGAGTTAATTTTCCTCACCTCTAGCAGAATTTTTATTAGCAGTAAGATGCATACAGATATGCTATTGGCAAACAATGAAAACATTTTCACAGCAGTTTGTTTTTTTAAGAGGAAAAGATTTTCATCTTTGCTCAACTAAAATTGCCAAAGAGATATTTCACAATTGTTCTTAACAGCTGCAACAGCAGAGAAAGCAAAGCCATTTCTAACATCTCCAAAATTCTCTTCTTGAGTTATACTTACACATTATCAAAACATGGACAAGTTAAAAACAAACAAACAAAAGAACTTTCCAAAATGCAAACTAAGAGAACAGGTGTGGGCAGAGTTTCCTTATGAGACGCTAAAATAAATATTTTGGATTGCAGTGGAAGAAAAAAAGTCTTTCATCCAGTTTCTCAGAGTCTCAGACATAACAAAGAATAAATTTTCATCCTTAACAGTGCTGTGTTGACATGACCCACAATTAGCAAGACACGGTGGGAGAATGCCAATATACTTTGAAGTCAAATTTAAAACTTTACAGAAACAAAATCAACATTAATTTTTTCTTGACTAATTTGGCAAACAACACATGAACTAAAAAATAATTTCAAGTGCTAGAACTCTGTCTGGCAGTCTAAATTAAAGAACCTCACTTTGTAAAATCATTTACTTTAGCTGACATAGATACAGTTTTATCCTTCTTTAGACACTGAACTTTTAACTTTAAAATCTCCAATTTAAAAGTATTCACTTCAGCTTAATGATGTTCTAAGTAATTTTTCCTTTTTTTTTTTCCTTCTTATAGTAAGAAATGCAAGACGTGCACATGAATTTTACTTAGATGACTCATGGAAATACTCTGCTGACACCTCTCTAATTTTTCCATATAATAGGAAGTTAACAAGCTGTTAGTCATAATTTTCTAGATTTTTTACTATTTACACTGTAATAGTGTATCAAATGAATTACTTGTACCTAATTCTGGGCTAGTCTTTGACAACTACTGCTTAGAGGGAGGTACTTCCATAGGAAATCACTACAGAAGCTTTTCATCACGTATTTATCTGTAAAATAGCTATTAAAGCTACTTGTTGGGACAACTCTCTTGAAAGCACGCCGCTTTCATGTTAAAAGGCTAAACTGGACACAGTGTTTGTAGCTGATTTCGCCTTTCTGTACTTACAGCAAGTACCCAGCAGTAACAGTCCATGCTCGTACAAGACCTTTCAACCACTGTCTTGTATGTCCTTGTTCTAGCAAAGCTGGAAGCACCACCTGAAGCAAAAGGAGCTCTAGAGAAAGTTCACTTACTGGAGCATCACTAGAAACAATGGGAAGAGCAGAAAGTCAAACATAAGGAATATTCTGATAGTAATCTTTCACATTGAATAAATCATATTAACACCACCACAATGAAGAATGTATTGGACGCCAACAGAATCAAGTCTTAGGTTTTTGCAGACATTTTTCCTTACACACTACTCTGAGCACAGGTTAAGTGTTCGTGTTTATCCACTTAGGCGCACAAGAAATTTAAGCACAAATGTTGAGAAAGATTATATCAGAGAATATGATTTGCTCTTCTGTTTGCTTCTATTGTTGCTGCTTCAATTATTATTTAGAAACTGAAGGATACTGCTATCACTAAAAAGAAAGGCAGTTACAGATATTCTTTTATTCTTGAAGCAATGAGGATCAGGAATTAATGTGAAAACCAAACATGGCAGCAACATCACTATCAAGAAGTTGAAGTGGAAAGTGTTTTGAGGACATATAAAAATTGAACAGTTATCATTACAGAAGTAATAAAAAAATGCCTTTTATTTTTGTTAGTAGTTTTTTATTTGACAAATTGTATGAAGTATTCACATCCTTTATCTTCTTTGGTTTTCTAGAACAATGAAGTTCAGATTAATTGCAAACAAATAAAACATACCAAACAATGTTACATTAATGCTCAAAGATGCAAATACACATTTTTCTAGTTACAGGGAGACTGAAAAATCACCTTTTTTAAATTAAATGCTTACCTGTAGAGCATAACATTATATGGAAGAAAGTTAGGCAGGAGATACTTAATAATGCGTATAGGAAGCCAGAGCATGAGCAGTACAATTGATCCAAAGACAATCTGCAACAAGGAAGTTAAACAAGTTAGTCCAAAATAGCAGAAAACCAACCTAGTTTCCTATCCATCTCTCTGAGATGTTTCCTGTGTGTGGTGGGTTAGCCCTGGCTAACAGCCAAACATCTACCCAGCTGCTGCTCATTCCCCTCGCTGGCTGAATGGGGAGAAAATAGAAGGAAGGCAAGAAGACTCGTGGATTGAGATAGTAACAGGATAATAGAGAAAGCAAAAGCTGTGCACACAAGCGAAACAGAAAGAGGAATTCCCATCAGCAGACAGATGACTATCAACTTCCTGGAAAGCAGGACCTCAGCACATGTTAACAGTTGCTCAGGAAGACAAACACCATAACCATGAACATCTACCCCTTCCTCCTCCTCCCTTCCCACAGATTTTACTGCTGAGCATGACATCATATGGGATGGAACACCCCTTTGGTCAGTTTGGGTCAGCTGTCCCAGGTATCCCCAGCTTATTCGGTGGAGGGGTGAAGGAGGAGGGCAGCAAAGGAAAGAGGAAAAGCCTTGAGGCTGTGCAAGCACTGTTCAGCCACAGCCAAAACACCTGTGTGTGAGCAGTGTGGCTTCAGCCACTAACCCAAAGCGCAGAAGGACATGGGCCACTATGATGAAAATTAACTCTATCCCAGGCAGACCAGTATGCTATGATGCCCTGGCCAAATAGGACTGGCTGAATAAGCACTGACTGGCCAGCTGACAGGATAATGTCCGACAGTTCTACTTTCTTCCCCCTCCCCCAGTACTGGAATTACTAATTTTGGATTCCTCTCTTTTCTCAGTGGCTGAGTTTTCAAGCAACTTATAGAAGCCTCAAAAGACCTTTCCATTTCTATTTCCTCACATTTTAATTTGGCTGAAAGATAAAAATTTAGTAGGGGAGAGGAGGTGCATGAAGACCATGCTGTTTTATAAATCCTGTTTCCTTAAGGAACCAGATTAAAAATCAAGTACATTTTAACACATTCTTGCACTTCATATAAAAGCACCACTAGAGACTAAAAATGCAAAAAAAATTGTTTAATCGAGTAAAAAAGAAAAATCAAATCCCATTCTTCTTGAAACTTAATAGTTTATGTTCTACACAAAAAAAAAAAATCTTAAAAATATCGAGAAAGAAACACAACTTAAAAAGTGTGGCTTGTTTTTTGAAATGGTAAGCTGTAAATGGTCACCATTCTGGGTCCCGTGTTCTAGCATGAGGCTGGTAAAAGGTCTGAATTAATTAGCTAAGCAAATCAAAAGGTGAAGTTCAAGTAACAGCAATTTCCAATACAATCTGAGAACTATCTCTAAGACCTTTAGTAACAAGTAGATATTTGCTTGTATTTGGGTACTTGCTGTGACACAGTTTCAGGCACCTAAGCATTATGATTATCTAAGGAGAAAATACTCTGAAGGGTGGACAGGTCGGCTGCTCTCATGTACTGGAGAGCTCTCTAACAGAACTAAGATCTCTCTATGAGCTTTCACTGCTCAAAGCACTGCAGGTGTATTAATACAGTATGGCAAACAATAATGTTTCTGGTATATCAGTTTTGATAGTTGATGCGACATTCATGTCAAAGACAGCCCAAGACCCTTCCCTTACTGCATGCTAGGAAAACCAGACAAACAAGCAAAAGGAAAAAGCTTTCATTGTTTTCAGTATCTTGCAATGATAATCTGGAAATAGACACCACTGGCTAGATCAGCATAATCCAATCCAAAACTTAACTAGAAAGTTACTCTATCCCTGCTGCACTACTTTAGCTGAATTGGACACACAATGCTTACTGCAATAAGAGCATCATGAAAGAGTTAAATGATTTAAAATATCCATCATAATAAACACGTGTTGTTTGAATACACAAACGTTTCCTGTGATTTTGCATAAGCAGAAGAAATCACAGAAAAAATTGTTTTGGAAGGGACCTCTAGAGGTAAACTACCCCAACCCCCTGCTCTGAGCAGACCCAGTTACATCAGGTTGCTCAGAACCTTATCCAGTTGAGTTCTGAGTATCTAAAAAGACATAGATTCGGTTGGCAACCTGTTCCAGTGTCTAATCACCTTCACAGTGAAAATCTTTTTCCTTGAATATGCAGTAGTGTATATGGGAGCTAATGTATAACATTTTCTTTCCAAATACAGTCATTTTTGAGAAGAGTCCTTACCACTGATAAGATAAACCTCCTGAGATGTCTATAAATGGGCAAGTGAATCATTTCCTGCACAGGATTAAAGTCTGGATCATTCAAATTCCTGAGAAACCATAAGACACCAGGTCTCAATACCTGAAGTAGGAAATAGAAAACAATATATGAAGAGAAAGTTATCTTTGTATGCTTTGTTTTTCATTTTGGATAACATGGCTGCAGCAAATAAGTTTTAAACATAATAGGGGTTCAACAAAATAGTACAGAAACAGAACAAAGGAAGCATTATCATAAAGAAGTAGAGATGCAATAATCAATTACAAGCTTAATTTTCAAATATTAATCAATCTTAAATAATTGAAATGTATTTAGATTAATTTGAAGGCAACACCCATGTTTAAGGACTAAGTAATCTCTAAGTAAAATATACCCTAAATCATAATTTTCCACTGCAGTAAGTACCTCTGTGGCCCATTTTACATAAGGCTGAAATCAAATATACACACACAACACACAGTAGCAGCAATACCCACACGTGAAAGATTTAACTAACAGTTCAACATGCAAACTTCTCTAACTATGTTACATACCAGTCCTGTTCTTATAGACTTACCTCTCTCAGTAAAAGAATGAAGGATGCAAAATAAAAGACGTAAACCATTCCAACTAACCAGTGCAGAAACATTGTGGTACCCGGGGCAGACTGAAAGCTCAATTCTCTGTCTTTCAAAGTGGCATCAAACATCTCCTAGAAGGTAAGTAGTAAACAAATATGAATAAAGTTTGGCAAACTTCCACAGTTACTCATTTAGCTTACCCTAGTTCATATACACTACTAGGTGTGTAATTCAAATGCCTGCCTCATGCTAACACATAAATAGAGCATTTAATTAGAAAAAAAGGGGAATGATTTACAATAAGAACAGCAAAGAGATCAATTTCTGATCAATTTCTTTCTTGAAGAAAGAAGTCAACTCAGGCACTAACATATACTACAGAAGTTATAAATCAGTTCAAACAAAGTAGCACTGTGATGGAAGCAAATACTCCCTTAAGTAAAATTCTATTTCTGCTAAGGCTAGAACAAATTAATTTTCTCCACTTGAAATCAATCACTTACTGCTATTTTTTCAGGACAGAAAAACTGTCCTTCTCAATTCCAAGCAAACACAGCATGTATCTTGTTCAAAACAGAAAGAGACTGGACAACTATTAAAATATGAAGTTATTACCATTTCACATAAGATGGCTACATAAAGAAGTTTGTTCAGTACACAAGTTTGCCTGTAAGTAAGTTCATTATCACAGTGGTCTTGTAAACACAGTAAAAAGGATTAGGAGCTTATTATTTCAATAGTAGCATGTTAATTTGTATGTAGTAACACAAAGGAAAACAAAATTAGCATTAAGCAGTACCTAAAATTCCTTTCCCTCTGGAAACACTGTGTTTATAAAAACATAAGAGTGCTCTTAAACTTGTAGCAACAACTCTCTTCTCATCACAACTTTTTTCCTTTAAATATAAACACAGTTAAAAAATATTTTATCCTATCTATTGCAATTCTTACCAAAGAGCATATATCCAGCCACCAGCCACAAATGAGAGGAAACACACCAATTTCAACCACCACTAACAAGGAAACCTTTAGGAAAAAAAACCAGAAAGGAACATCTCACTAGTTTAGCAGAAATTGTTAAGAAAATTATAATATAAGCTTAAATTGAGAGGGTTTTTTGCTACACACAAAAAAATACGGTTACCTTAACAACAATATAGCAAACTCCTAATAAACGACGTGATCGCTGGAACTTAACAAGGGCTGCCAAGCCCTGAATAGTTTTGTCAAGAAAATAATACTGAAAAATACTTTATAACATAGTTTGATTAATATGAAACACTCTATTATGCAGCTTTTAGCAACAGAAAATGTTATAAAAGACAGAAGTGAAACAGAAAGTATATATTTTAACAGGGCTGTATTTTCAAAATTGGCGGTGACTCTGGAAGTCACAATCTGATGAGCTGGACAACCCTCCGACCCCCAACATGCAACTAAAATAAATGAATAAATAAGTAGTACTACTACCACCCTTCTTAAATTAAGCATCCAAAAGCTTTCTCCAGAAATAAACAGCTGCCTTTGAAAAACGTTTGCCATGAATAAGCAAGTTTCAAAACTGGAGGCCTACCTTAAATGGTAGCTTTCCTTTCCATGCAGCCTGAAACAAATTCTCACCTTTTCCAAGAAAAGCTGGATGCACATTACATTTTGGGGGTTTGTTTTGTTTTCTTTCAGGTGGCAAAATAGAGACATGCCAATCAACTGCTTTAACACATTTCCACTGCATATTCATACAGTGCAGTCTAAAGTTGATGTTAGCTTTGAACGGAAAACTGCTAACAAACATCTATTCTTTCAAACTGAAGTTGGTGTAGTCCCTTCAAAAACACGCAGCTAGAATGCAGCCTTTTCACTTGTGACCAAATCCTTGTAGCTTTCAAGACTCCATCATTACTTGATTTTCTCTGTAAAAATGAGGGTTATCACCTGAAATAAATCCTTGCTGCAAGCTCTCAGTGGTTCAGAGACATAAACGAGAAACTAAACCAATCCACAATCTAAAGATCTGGCAGGATCAAAAAGTGGTAAATACATTTCCCATCATACCCTACGTCTTTTCACAATCCCATTTCTCTTTCTGCTGCAACTGCATAGCCCACAGCAATAGTGTAAGGACAGTGAGGAAAAAACAAGGGTTCTACACTCATCTTCTCAGACAGACCTTCAAAATTTAGTTGGAGGCCTTCAAGGAAGCATAAAAGCCTATAATTTTGTGTTGTTAAAACATGTGCAAGTGTTCCAAAGAATGCAGTCACACTGACAACTTTAAAATGTTCAAGAGAACAGAGACCTTTTCTTCTAATTTCACCAAAAGAGCAGAGCAAAACGGTAAATTACTTGCATCCACACCATGTCTGTGCCTCCTCAAAATACAGCCAGAAAAATGATTCACATGTAAAATCTGAACCAGGTAACTACTGACACAAGGATACATGACAAACAATTAGAGTCACTGCTAGCAGAACATATCCGACTATAGTTGTAATCAGGCCTTCAAAGTGAGATGCTTGAACCTGGAGGGGAAAAAGGGGAAATTTTATCAGTCTCTTAAAAGATTACACCTCCTTTTTATACAATTCAAATAAATTCCAAATCTCAACTCTTCAAGAAGAATGACAAGTTTCTTTATTTTTTACATATTTTAATAATTTACTACTTTTTTTGGTATCTCCATCAAGATTAGAAAATGTTTACATTTACTGGAAAAGTCTAACAAGTACTTTCTTTAAACATGAAACAACCTCTATATATGAAACTAACTGTCACCTTACACTATCTCACTACCTCCTACCTTTCACTAACAATTATAATAAACTACGAAAATTACTCAATACACAAATTAAAAATGTATATGAGGAACAAGAGGCTGTTAAAAACATATGCATTATTTTGTAAAAGGACGAAACCTCACTTGAAATGTAAATAATGGAGGAAGTGGGAAAGAGCGAAAGTTTTTAATCATAGATTAAAAAAGGTTTGAGAAGAAAAAATGAGATACACTCATTTTGTTATTTTGTGATCACAAGTAAAAGCGGAAGGATGCTACAAAGATATTGTGACTAAACAAACAGTGACAGTGGTTTAATTCTGAAGTTATAAAATAGTACTTACATATTCCTCAAAGCCCAGGCCAACGATGGAGAAGTGACCAATGTGGTACGGACAAAATGCTGCATAACGTAAGCAGAAAGAACAGGGGAAAAAAAGGCCATGAAAACTGCTAAATAGAGCCTTATTTGCAGGAGGTGTATTGTAACATGGTAATTATTCTACTTCTCATCAATTTTGTGAAAAAAGATAAAAAAAATAATTTCTGTGCAAATATTTGCAAGTGTTATATTTCTATAATTTTACAAACACTGAAAATCAGATCAGAATTCACACCGAAAAGACTACAAAGAATATAAAAGTACACAGAATAAGAGGACAGTCTTTTCCTTCTTAGCTCATCTTGCTGTGTGTAAATTAATCCAATTTCTCAGTGTTGCGTACTAGGGTGGTATTGGTCTCAGACTGCTGTAGGAACTCGTTCTGTATATTCCCTCTTTCCCATGCACTAAAAGATTTCAGTAGCCATTTTACATCTTGGTCAGATGAGACTCACTGTAGCAAGCTTTCAGTTTTAGTGCTGCAGTTCTTAAGAATACTGTGAAAAAAGCAAGCCCTGCAGAAATTTGCAAAGGGAAGATGAGGGGGGAAAAGATGAGCAACTGAGAAGTCTTTTACTTTGAATTAATGTACTAAGAACTGTCATCATTCCTCAGAAGTCATCCTCGCCAATTCTGAGGTCTCAGGAGGAATGAATTAAAAAACAAAGCACTTTCCCCATTATTGTACACCTGTGTATTTGCAATAGGATCAGGTAGTTGGTTTAACTCACTCTGTGGTCTTCTAACCAAGCTACAAAGGACTACAGAATTCAACATGACTTTCCTACAGGAGTAGAGGGAGTCAGTAGGAAGTAGAGGGGTTGCAGTGACTGCAAGCTTTTATTTGTACCTATATTGCCTTCACTATATCATGACAGTCCGCTCTGGGGACTGCTGTAGACTAAACATACCTTCAAATGAAAAGCCTGATAATTTTCTCTCTCCTCCTCATTTCCATATGACCAATATGTAAAAAAAAAACCCAAATGAGGAAAAGATTTAGCAGGACTTGTATTACCCTAATCAATGATCAGAAAGTTTAAATTTATGTCCCTTTTATATCCCCAGTAGCAGTTACTGGGAATACCAAAAATGTAAAAGGGAAGACTTGAGCTCTTCCTGCCCAGTAAGAACAAGAGAAAGAAGAGTGAGATGAAAGAAAAAAAAAAAAAAAAAAAAAAAATCACTCAACTCCTATAGACACCAGACTCGTGACTTAAAAGTTGTACCTTTTCGACAGTGTTTTACGAGATTATAGTGCACAGTTTATGATGTTTTTTAAGTAACTTCCTTTAAATGAGAATTTCCAATAGATCTCTTCAAACAAAAAGCATGAAGGACTACAAACTCCTCTGTGAGTACTAAAATGAGCTATAGAAAACATGAATTAAGTCAAACTTAATTAACTTGTCCAAAAGAACATCACAGGAGAATTTCTGGACCAGTAATTTAAGGTCCCAAATGCTTTCCTTCTGTTTTATCTTCTAGTAAGTACCTCCTGTGACATTTGAACTCACCAGGACTGTAATTATGAATAATTTGAGATTTGGCAGTTGTAGATTAGGCAGTATTACTTAGTGGGAAAGATACTGAAAACAGGCTTGAGAGGCACAAATTAAATTCCCAGATCTGCTGCTTGCTTGCTTGGGAAAATCATTCCCTTTCTCTGCTTTTTAGTTTCTCAGTAACTGTTAAAGCACACCTAGAGATACTGAAAACACATTTAAATGACAACCTTACTAAATATTCTTATTACTTATTACTCAATTTAAATCAAGGATTTAGCAATTTCATAGTTACTATCTACTTACTAAAAAAGCCTAAATTTTATAGCAGCTAAAAAACTTAATTAACTTCTGATAACTAGAGATTAAAATAGACTAATTATCTGGAAAATACTTGAATTATTTCTACTCTTATTAGAATGGTTATAGCTTTTTGTGAATTAAATATACATGATAATTCTTATTTTCTTATGATCTGCTGATTCATTTCAATAACTAGATGCTCAAATCACTGGTTCTGTACTGTGAGCTTTACTTTGCCAGCAAAAATTTCCTATCTACAGCATGACTTCAGTTTTTAAAGCTCAAACTCTTCTGCCAAGAAAGACCATCCGAAAAACCAAAACAATATAACCAATTCCTTTCTAAGCCAATAATTCAGAGCAAGTGAAACTTTGTGTCTCATATCTCTTCAAGCGTATAAAATGCTACCTTTTAGTATCAGTAAAATGCTGCTGCTTCTGCACACAGTTGGGTCAAATTAACAACCCTACTAACTCGAGCACCGCAAACCAAAAGCTTCTGTTAGCAGCAAAACAGGCAAAATTGAGGCACAGTCTAACGGCTCCCAGGAGGGTCTTAAAAAAAAAATAATTCTAAATTTGTTACCCGCCTTTCTGCAGTAAAACCAGAGTGGAAACGCAAGTTTACCCTATATGTTATAAGCAGTAAATATAAAATAGGAATTCCAGAAACTGTCAAGGGGGAGCTTACTGCTATTTACAATAAGGCAGGCATTTTACCTTTTCTTTTAGGGTTCAAATGATTGAGAAATACACACCTACAGTTTGGTGATTTTTTTTTTTTTTTTAAGCTGTGACAAGTTTATGTCCAAGCAATTTTCCTAGCACTAACTATACATGGAATCAGAATACAGAAATATTCTTATCTTGTACTAGAAATAGAAAGAGTCTTGCAAACATTTAAAGTTGCAGTTCAGCTTTAGCATCTACAGGAAGAAGAAAGAAAATAAAGTAAAATGGCACCACTGATGAGAATTTAGTATTTTCTAAACTTTAAGTCAGTCTAAGTTGCGTGAACTAAGGAAAGTTGTTCCCTAGTAATTTTGGACACAAAATGAATGTATATTTGACAACTCTACAAAGTCAGCTACATTATTGTGCGCTCCTCCCCGCTCCCAGTTTTGCATTCCAAAAACAGATTCTTGGTGGAAAAAGTGATTTAACTATATCTAGTGAAAACTATAAGGAGAAAAAAAACCCGTAGCCATTCCTAACAGTACTGCATTTGCTCATAAATGAAATACCAGGAGGTTCCTCCTTAAATTTAACAGCATTCCAAACAAATATTATTTTCTGTGCTTTGGCTGATATCATTAAGCTTTTGGTAGATTTCCTATTTTAAAACTATTCACTTAAAGGAATTAAAATGACAAAACTAGAAGCAATAAAGATTTATTATCATACTCCCAGTTCGCTTGTGGTTCCATTTTTAGATGTCACAGCTTCATTTATTCTGAGAGAAAAGCTTTAAAATTAACCTGCATTATCACTTCACAAAGGAGGAGCTTTTTAAAACCTAAGAACAAATGATACTTACCAAACACAAGTATGAACAATGTATTTAAAGATACCACCCAAAAGACATGTTCCTGCGAGGAGTGTGGGGGAAGGAGGGAGGAAGACGACAAGGAAACAGTACATAAATATCAGCCATTTAAATAAGTGACTTTACTTTCGTATCTAAACTTCTTATTTCAGCTGCCTATTATTACCAGAATTTACACAATTCATGTTAGAGCCACGAAAATCGCTCTAACACAAAGACCAAAACATGCAGAATGATGAATGCATATGTTTACATTCATGGATATTTACCTGGATAAGAAGTGCACTCACATTTGCTCTAATTTAGTAAAAAAAAAGCTTTTATTTTAAAATCAATATAAATAGTTCCACCATTAAAAACAACTACATGAAATGCATGTGGATATTTATTTTATAAATGAGAAAATGTTCATCTGAACTTTTAACAACTAGACTTTGTCACAAGAAACCCACTAACAAAACTGGCAGCTGTCACTCTAGAAATGACAGCACGTCTCTGTTTTTTTAAGATTACTTTTAGCTAAGATGTGAACTCAGCTATAAGTATACCGGAATCTTAATTATGTTGATATTGATATTTGAAGTTAATCACTATGACATAATGAGCTACATTATTTTAAACAAGACACATTAAAATATGAGACATTTTATTTCAGACATGAGACATTTATCCACTACGGTATCTAATAAAAACATCGATATTTAGGAATTATATTTCTTTCACACCTTAAGTAATGTAAAATTTATACTGCTGGAAGAGAGCACAGATCTTTTTTTCCTTTTAACATATAAACTACTTCTCTTTAAAATAAGTGATCTGGCAGATGATATCCAATGAATGTGGCTGTGATGGGTTAAAGTTTTTTTGCCATTGACTCTTTGCACTCTCTACCCCCTGACCCTGCAGTCAGAGCTGGACATCTTCAAGTCAGGTAGGGTGGGCAGCAGACAGCGCCCTTGAAATAAACTATAACAAAGCCCACTAGAAGATAGGCATTATGTACGTAAGAGTTTGTCAGGCAGATAATCAACATGGGTTCACTCACAAACAAGTGTTAAAAAGTCAATAGCCTCTTTAGGAGTGGTTTGCTACATTATCATAATCATAAAGATTTTTGGAAGAACCAATTTAAAAAATACGTGTTCCACAAGACAACTTACTATTGTGAAGATTTAAAAAAAAAAGTCTTGATACTGATATCAATTAAATATATAAATTAGAATAATAATTATTAAATTGAATATCAATTAAAATAACACTCAAGAGGGTAAAAATTCTAGGGAGGAACAAAAAAACCACCCAAATGCCAAATAAAGTCAAGAAACATTACTGAAGATCTTGAACTTTAAAATCTAGTCTACACTAAAAATTCACTAGTGGTGTTCTGGTGGTATTAGGGCAAATCAGAGAAGTCTGAATGAGGACACTTAATCATAGCATAAAGAACTAAACTTAAGGCTAGAACAGATATGTATTTTCAGTGTATGCTTCTTTAAAGGGCCTAATTTTCATTTGCAGTGGAGTACGTGATCCAAAGTTACCTATGTCTTAAGAAATTCCACTTTTATGCCACACACATGCACAAACACACAACTCTACTCCGTAAAACTCGTAAAAAAAGAGTTTGCACGAATGCGACATCATATGAAAGTCCCTTTAAAAAATATATATCATATGAAAATAGGGACTTCAAAAAGAATGATGCAATTTTAAAAACACACTACTTTTTTTTCTAAAAAAAAAGTCTTCTATAGAAATCATTGCAATGCAGGATTTCACTTACTAAAAAAACCAGAGATCCATCAAGTCCAAGCATCTGTGAAGATAAGAACGTTTATTTTATTTACTCATCAGAAACACTAAGCAACATGCATCTAAAATAAGCGTCATAGAAGCCTCTTTCACACCAACTTTTAACGTCCAATACGGTCAAAAGCTTTTTTATTATTGCTCAAGCAACAGAACTTGGACATAAATTCTTAAAGATAAAGACAGAAACTAAGTTTTCATTCAACACAGTAAACTCAGTTGATCAAAGGCAGTGATATACATGTGGAACAGCTTAACACACATGTATTTACATATGGCAAACCAAACATATAATCAATTAACTTACAGGCTATTTCTCTCCAAGACTGAAGACTGACAAAGGTTTTGTATTTATGCAAGATTTTAGTGATCGAACTGTTATTTAAAAACATGCTTAAAAAAAAAATTGATATTAAAATACAAGAGCAAATTTTTTTGGTTTCCTAATTGCAAAGTATCAGTTTATGTTGCACTGAGAAAAGTCAAAGGTTCATATTTTACCTTCAACGTATAAAACCAATTAGTAACAGGATAATGTTGCTACACTCTATGTTATTAAGTTTAGAATATAATTGGTTTACAGCTAAGGAAGACAGCAAACAGACCCTCCATCACTCTGCACAGCTTTTAGGGGAAGCATCCACAGAACAGCCAAAAATAAAGTGTCTATTAAAAAAAAAAAACCCAAACCTAAAACTCTCCTTTCCCCCAACTTCAAGGATTTCTTACTATTTCAGTCCAGACACTCCTATTCCCTGATTACTGCTGGAAAGTACCAGGTTCAAGGCTATTTTGTAGCAGGATTTTGCACTAAGTTCCAAGACATTAAAGTTGCACATATTTTACAAAGTAATCCAAGATGCAAATGTTTTTTAAAATTCAGAAAGCTTGCATGCTATTTTCACGAGATGAAATACCAGAAAATCCTACCACACTTTTGATACTAAATGCCAACTAGATGTCTACTGCCTATGCCAGCACATAGGACTGGAAATGGTTATGAGAGTTTGCTGAGACCGATTTCTATATTCATGGAGAGGCATCAAAATGTTTCCAATAAGGAGCACATCAACATTTCTCAGCACATAAACTGGGTTCAGAAATATAACAGCTTCATCTTGAGATACACAGTAGAATGGTTCAGAAACCGGAATTTATGTATGCTCTTCTTCACTAAATCTCTTTCAAAACAAACTAAGAAGTTTTCACTAGACACAAAACAAAGACCAAGACCTGTCCCTTGTGATGAAAACTGTATTTCTACTACACTGCAATCAAGGCAACAACTACATCACAGTCTAGGAACACAGTGACTGGCTTTGCAACAGTCTGCCACAGGCACTAGCGATGCTGGTAAATCACATGAAGCTGCTCTATCTACCTTCAGGTAGATTTTGCTGCAGGAACTTTGAGGTTGGCTACTTCTAAACCAGATACAAAAAACTAGTTCTTGAGTCTCTATACTAGTCTATGATTACAGTGTACATGCATTCCATGCTCTAATTATGGAATTTGTGATCCATAAACAAAACAGAAGCAACGTTACATTAAAAAGCTCCATAATTTTTTAATACATTTGTCTTTTGCAAATATGTAAATAAAGTAAATTAATCAAGATTTCTGGTTCTCTCTTTTCTTTAAAGCTTTCACGAATAAAAAAATTAAGCATTAAACTATAATGCAACACCTCAGTGCTCCTAATCTGTCCTAGCACCCTCAATGCAAGATGCAATTCATTTCTAAACCTGACCGTTGAAGACTTTGGAAAATTCTGTGCTAAAACATGTTAAGCTGCTACTCACGTCAAATCAAAAAAATGGTTTTTTGATAGTTAACAAGTAGCATAGTAACATTTTGGGTTTAATACAACGACTTTTTTACGTCACTAAAATCTCTTACTGATTTTCATACTAGACAAAGGCATACAAATGTATCACAAATGGATTTTAACACAGCAATACTACAAATCATTTCAAGTATGAGTCTGAATTATTCAATTCAAGAAAAGACTCTTACTTACTCGCTCCCAAGTAAGTTCTTCTGCTGCTCGATCCCATTCCAAAGCATTCCAGTTCATGTCATCTGAGGAGACAATGGCCAGTTTTACAGCTGTTAGACTCACCCAAAACAAGATGTAAGCACTCCATGCTATGTTTAAAATGAACAAAAAGACTTAAGTGCATGACGTTCAACTCATAACTGCTGATAGCTTTTCAGCAAGTAAACGCTTCAGCACTCAAAAGAAATACATGAAATTTGCAAAACCAAGATAAATAAGCTGAAGGGGGAATTTACACAGCTTCCTTGAATTACAACAGTTCTATTTTCAATGATTTCATTTATATTTAAAAGAACTAGAACATTACTGTTTTGAGTCACCTGTTACCTTGTGCTCCATTGTTTGCATCTGCTGCATCTTCTACTACAGCATCTTCTTCATCTTCATTATCTTCCTCCTCTTCATCTACTTGTTCTTCTTGAATTTCAGGATTCTCGCCTACAACTACATTCTCAGCACCTGGGTTAGCAGGTTGATCAAGCACAGCGTTTTCAACACCTCCATTTACAACAGCCTGAGCCTGCAGAAACAGGATTTAGTATTCAGTTAAATTGATCAACCTCTCTCAATACTTCTATCCCGCATATAGAAAAAATGAGTAGTATTAAAAAATGTTAACAATGTATTTTTTAGATAAGCATTAAATTTGGAATCACTAACCTTTTAAAAGAGGAAGAGAAACATTCAGACTTCTTCACAGAGTAGCTGAGGTTGGAAAGGGACTCTAGAGATCATCTAGTCAACCTACCTACTCAAAGTAGGGTCAGCTATAGAAGGTTGCTCTGCTGTTTCCAGTTGGCTTTTGACTAACTCCAGAGATGGAGACTTCATAAACTCTCTGAGCAACCAGTTCCAGTAGCTGATCACACTGTAAAAACCAAACCCCACATCTGGGGCTTCTTTTAGCTTTTTTTTTTTTGGTCCAAATGGAATTTCCTGTATTTGAGCCTACTGCCTGTTGTCCTGTCACTCAATGCTACCAAGAAGACTGTGGCTCTGTCTTCTTTACATCCTCCCATCAGGCATTTATACACAGATATGGTCCACGCTGAGCCTTCTCAGCTCCAGGCTGGACAGTTCCAGCTCTCAGCCTCTCATCGTATGTCGGATGCTCCAAGCCTTCAAAAATGATTTGTTGTCTCTTCACTGCACTCAGTCCAGTATGTCTGTGTCTCGTTTGTACTGGGGAAGCCTAGAACTGCATACAGCACCAGTCCGTCTCACCCATGCTCAATAGAAGGGAACTCTCTTGAATCTTATGAAAACTATCATTATACTAGAAAGATGATAATTCAAGGACAACCCAGGTCAGTCATCAAGCTGAGGATCTCTGTCTTTAAAAAAATTGACATTTATTACCCCCCCCCCCCCAATTTCAATGATTTTCCTCCTATGCATGTATTGCTTATATCATCTCTTCTCCTGCCCAAGAGGCTCCTGTAAGCACTAAGGGGGTGTGTATTGGGGGGGTGGGAGGAGGGCAGAGAAGCTCCAACTTAAGAGGTTTCAACAGAACCTCCAACCGCTTTGAGAACAGTCAATTGTTACCTCATGAACTACCAAAATACTTATGAAAAAGACAAAATAAAAGCAAGCTGCATCTTTGTTGACTGTGGCTGACAATTCAGTTTTATATGCACAAAGTTATCTTCAGTGTAAAAATACAGACATACAAATCTAAATAATGTTACTTTACAAAAATTATACTATAACAAATCTTTTAACATTCCATTTTACAGAACTTCAAAAACGCAACAGTGGTGTCACTGAGTTGACACAGGAACAGGCTCAACTTCTGCTAACATGCAAATAAAGATACCCTGCAGTAACATAACATTACTGTTGGGTTCTGATAACATATTTATTCACAAAAACACATTTTCTAAATGTATCATGAAGTACAGAGCAGTTAAGTTTTACCTCATTTGGTTGACCAACACCATTGAGCGGCTGTTGCTGATTTTGTTCCAACCACTGTGGTGCTCCTCCGTGGACGATCTGTTCACGTAACCAAACAAGGCTGATAAACGCACACAGAGTGCATGTTACCACAAAACAGCCCTGCAAACAGTCAGCCAGTAAGTTCTCCCTGTTACAGAAAAGAACCCAAAACATTAATATGTTACATTTTGTATGTATGTTACATACATACAATAAAATGTTACATACATAAAATAAAATAACAAATATATTTTGATAATAAGACTAAACTTAATCACTGTTAACTGCCACAAACAGATCCTCCCAGTCCAAATCAACAAATAAACTTGTATTTGTGAAAAAAGCTTAATTTACTTACGTGTCTAAGCAAAGAAAGTATCTAGATGTAATTTTTATTTAATTTTTAAAAATCTGTTCAAAGAAGGTTTCTTTTAGGAAGGCTGTATGTACCTGTATACAAATGGTTTTAAGTGCTAAGATAAACACTGATTTGGAAAAGGTTTTATTTCCCTCTGGTTTGGTTTGTGAAGTTACTACTGTTTAAACAAATATTCCTGCAAATATTTGACTCAATATGAAGAAAAGCTTCAAGAGTAGTCCATGAAACACAATCTTAAGAATAGCAAAGGAAACACAATAATCACCAAATAAATTATTTGCTACAGTAAAATGTCTGTTTAAACGGGTAGATGCATAATATCCAGTCCACTGTAACATTTCATCTGCTGAGCTACCCTAATCAAAAGAATGGAACCACAGAGTTTGCCTTCGACTGCTTTACATTTTGGGTAGTCTTTCACCCCAGGTATTATCTCTATACTTTAAAAATCCTAATCTATCAAGTCATACATAACTGTAAAGCAGCAGCAAAACAACGTTCAGCTAGCCAACTGAAACTACGGTTTCATGCAATGTAAGAGGTACTTAAACTGGCTTAGGCAACTCTCATCTCTAATTCCAGGTACCCCCTCCCACTTGTTTCCACCCTTGCACTACTGCTTGACCACTGTGAAATTTGCTCAGAAAACAAACCAACCACAATATGTTCCTTAAAATAAGAACTAGGCCACCATACTCTGCCATCCCCCAAAAAGTATCTGGCTCTCCATGCAGCTGTACGAACACTTCATAGAGTACCAGGCTGGAAGGGACCTCAAGGATCATCTGGTCCAACCCTTCTCAGCAAAAACATGGTCTAGATATGATGGCCCAGCACGCTGTCCAGCTCAATCTTAAAAGTGTCCCATGCTGGGGAATCCACTGCCTCCCTGCAGAGATTATTCCAACAGCTGATTGCTCTTGCTGTGAAAAAATTTTCTCTAGTGTCTAAGCAGAATCTCCCCAGGAGTAACATGTACCCATTACCCCTCGTCTTTTCTATGTGACTCGCTGTAACAAGCGAGTCTCCATCTTCTTTGTAGGCACCCTTTAAATACTGAAACATGGTGATGAGGTCTCCCCCCAGCCTTCTTTCCTCAAGGCTGAACAAACCCAGTTCTCTCAGCCTTTCCCCACATGGCAGGCTTCCCAGGCCTTTGATCATCTCATCTCTGTGGCCCTTCTCTGGACCCTCTCCAGCCTGTCCACAGCTTTTTTGTACAGCAGGGACCAAAACTGAACACAGTGCTCCAGGTGAGGCCTGACCAGCGCTGAGCAGAGTGTGACAATGACTTCTTTCTCTCTACTGGTGATGCAACCCAGCATCATGCTGGCTTTCTTTGCCGCTACAACACACTGTTCACTCACATGGAGCTTATTGTCCACCAGGACCCCCAGGTCCCTTTCCACAGAGCTGCTCCCCAGCTGGGCAGATCCCAGCCTGTGCTGCACTCCTGGATTATGTTTCCCCTGGTGCAAGACCTTACACTTGTCCTTGTTGTACTCCCTAAGGTGGTTGTTAGCCCACTCTTCCAGCCTATCCAGGTCTTCCTGCAGGGTGGCTCTCCCCTCCAAAGTGTCCTTTTCCCCACCCATTTTGGTGTCATAAGCAAACTTCATCAGGGCACACCTGATCCCATCATCCAGATCACTTATGAAGATATTAAACAGCATTGGGCCCAATATCGATCCCTGCAGGACCCACGTGTGACAGGTTGTCAGTTCAACAAAGAGCTATTTACCACCACCCTCTGGGTGCGGCCTGTCAGCTGGTTCCCCAGACACTTGTGCATGCACAGCACACTGAATACCATGGGGACAAGAAGTCCAAAACGAAAAGATGCTACAGAAATTGACTGTCAAAGAAATACATGTCAAAGCACAGCTTCACATGCCATTAAAATCTGACACATACTTGTGTCCTTCATTTTCTCTCTCGACTGTAAAAGACACGAGAAGAGATGCTCTAAGTTCAGTTGTTTCAGATTCTTCTCAGAAAAATAAAAAGAAAGTCTACACTTACTGGGATATAACAGGAAAAACACTATTATTAATCTCAAGCGAGCACCTCTCCATATTAATAAAAATTAACTAAATGTGACATGACCTGATGTCTCAAATCAAATAGCTCACCTAAGATGACTTAGCTGAACTGCACAGGACATTCATTCAAAATGTGCTTGACGTGCAACTGATTCTACCCAAACTGAGTTTCAGTTCCCCAGGTTTAAGATAATGAAAAAAATAATAACCAGCCTAAAACTCTGTTCTGTTGGTATTTACTGGTTCTTTAAGTAAAATTTATTTAAAAAACACAAGATAAACAATATTCAATAGCATATGGTGACCGAAACGTTAATATCTAAGTGTCAGCTAGAAGGCAATCCAATTTAAAAAAAAAATCCCTATCACATAAGAGACTCAGGATGGATAAAATTGAATTAAAAATATAAAAATGTAACAAAGCAAACAGTGTGACATTAATATTATTACCAATATTTATTAATATTCTACTATGTGGCATCTGATTTAAGCTGTAGGAAACTAATTTTTGTATTTATTAAGTGTAATTTTGCAGTGTAAGTTTTATTAACATCAAATGCAAATCTTCATTAACCAGGGCCTATTTTGTAAAGTCAGTTTTCCATCTCCAAAGTTCCTGTATAACAGAACTTCAAAGTGAAACGATTTCTACCGTAATACTGTTGGCCATACATCTCACTATGCAAAGGGTAATGGGCAGCTGCTTGCATAAGATGATGGAAGACAACAAGCACAACTAGAAGAAAGGGACACTATGCTCCAAAGCAACCATTTTCACTATAATCTGAGCGGAAGAGTTATTTATATCAAACTGTTAAAGTACTTACGTTGACAGAATATCTAATGGCAGTGTCAGTAGTGAGCTCACAGAGCCAGTAAACAAGCATTTGTAGATACGACCTGCATGAAGAAACAGAAGCGTGGTATAAATTCAGTTCTGGTTATAGCCTCACTTGGAAAGGACCATAGATACCCTCTTTTCACCTGATGTCCTAACTACACTTATGACAAGGAAAAAAATCTCAACTTTCAGTAAACTAACAGAACTCAGGACCCAAGACCATATACAACCACGTGGAACAAAGCTGTATTTATTTTAGCTGAACACTGCTGCTAAAGTATGCATTCAAAGTGTAAGAATTGCCATACTAGGTTAGACCCAAACTTCATCTAGACCTGTCTCCAGCACTGGTCACACCAATGGACACCCAAGGTAGAATATGGAAAGAGGTTAAAGATACTTGCAGCAATACTTCCTCAGTACATTCTCATATGCTTCCCACAAAGCAGCTCCGTTCCTGTGCCATAGGATCTCAGTGCTAATTAATCCTTGATGGATTTTCCCCTCATTGATTTGTTCAATCATATTTTGAACCTGTATAAACTTTTGGTATTATGGCGTCTTGCAGCAAGGAGTCTCACCATTTCATTATCTGTTTTAAGTAATTGTTTTATGGATTAATACTTGATGCTAGTTAACGTTAGCTTTTTACCATGACTAATCAGTCACATAATCCTAAAAGTAGGTCATCAGTGTATACAGTCTGATTCAGACACTTGGGTTCAGATCCACAGGAGGAGGACACAGATGGTCAGAACAGGATGAGGTAAAAACTAAGGCACCCATACCCAGAAATGCAATTCTTAAGACTCTCATTCCACCCTTTAGGTAGGCATAGGTACCCCAGTATATACTGGCATACTATGGTTTCTGTGACCTAGAATAAATAGCTCAGTTGTTATCTCCTGGTTAAAGCTGTTTGGAACTTAGAGAAAGTTTATAGTTCTACATCTCTTATGAATCAATCCACCAGAAATGCCGAAAAGGTCTACTGTTCATGCTCATCTTTCATATAAAACCTAATATGGCACTTGGAGGAAGTTAACGCTTACATCCCCAGTGTGATCCACCCCTCCTGCCGAAGTTCTGACATTGGACAGAAAATAATACAAAATAATAATACAAAACTCAAAGGTCTAGAGTAAGTTAGAACACAAGAGACAATGGCTGTAATCTAATGAAAATGTTCAGTCTCACTGTAGTTAATACTACTTATACATTTTATACTGAATCAAATTTAGCAAGATATCGATCCTCTGCTGCCAGTGGGTTTCAATAGTTCCCTCTGCCTACCATCTAGCTACATGGTGGGGGAACTTCAAAGGGGCAAGATACCGCTGTGAACTCTGCCAGGCTGAAAAGGTCAGAGAACACTAGACTTGTAACTTCCAATTACACTACAGTGGTAGGAAACCAGTGTAACAAAACTCATTGTGAGATTTTATGGAATAGGAAGCAGATTTTATTGCACAAAATCTCTTAAGCAAACTGATGTCTAAGCAAGCTGTTTTTCCTCACAGATTTCCCTTGCTCACTCTCACAGAAGCTCCAAAATGTGTATGCCCAAGCGGTATGGACAGATCACTTGGGGACAGCACTAAAAACAAAGGACATCAGCTAGCAGTAAATCCTCATCGTATCTCTGGGATTCTTCTTGAATAGCATTTATGAACTTATTTTAGATTTGCCTTTCATGGCAAATGAGTGGATGCCATTTGGGATCTTTGCCTCATTGTTTTGTTTCATCCCTCTTGAGTCTGAGGCAAAATTCACAGTCCTCCTTATCTCTAGATCTTATAACTCTAGTCTTGTTCTTCATCTTCTTGACACCGTATTTTTAGTCTGTTTGTTTTCCCTCTTGATTTGAATGAAATCACATATACAGGGCTCCTCGGCAAACAGCAAATACTCCTTTTAGCCCTTTTTCTGTCAGTTCTTCTTGTGCTCACATACGCAATTCCGTTCATACTTTACTCATGCCTATTTAAGTAGTTCTGTTACACATTTCTACAATTTTAACTACTACAGAATTACATGAAACATGTATACAACCATCCTCTTCAGCTATACTTTATTTTTTTTTTTTTAAATGGCAACTGAATTACTCCAGAAAAATACATTCACGTGCCATATCGGCGTGTGAACAGTGACTTCTAAAATTTGAGATAAAGGGGGCACTTCAGACAACCCTACTTCCACTCTAGCTCTTCCTACTGCCTGAGTGTACACACTCACTTTACTCGGTGCGTACACCTCTTTTTTACCCCATCTACTGTACAGGCACCTTGGGTATTTCACTCTAGGAACCATGCAGCTAAATATAATTATCACAGAGAATAAAACCATTTTGGATTAAATTGGTCCAATTAATCCCACTTCTCTGAACAGATTATAGCAAATTGTACAACTGGCTTTTTTCATCCAATAATGTAAACATGCTTTGTGCTAACAAAATAGCAACAGCATACCAGAGCCTGCTGGGATTTGGCTGAGGGCATGTACAGAGAGATAAACTCCTTTTACTCAACCCTATAAGATGGGTATGCAATAAGTAAGTGAAATTACCAAAAAAGAATGTAGAGTTTATCCTACAGTGGGATACCTGCATGACTATCACATTAATCTGGAAGACAGATTTGTTCAACCATACATCTCCTTTGACTAGTTTTATTTTATGCTACACCTTTTTCTTCCATATATAAACCAAAGAAGAATACTTCCTTGTGAAGCCAGCCATACACAATTGTGTGAGCCATATGAGAGAAACAGGGAAGGCAAAAGATTAGATTAAAAAATATTTAAATACTACATAAAATTAAAGATTACATTAAAGGCATTTCATGTAAAAAGACAAGAACTATACAAAAATCACATCCACGAGACAGGTCCTGATAAATTTCAGAAGTACATGGATTTTCCAGATTTGTTAGACTGAATGGCTCTATCATTTTGGTTATTTTCCTATACAAATATGTTGCCCTTCACAGTACATTAATTCTTAAAAGAATCCATAAACAGTGGTAAACTGCAATGTTAGAGACAGAAATTAAGACTAAGTAAAAAAAACCCCAACTGTCCCTTGTAAATCAAAATCCTAAGTCAGTTATATTGGCTTTGTACATAAGTATTAAAAACCAAAAATTATGTTTGTGGGGGAAAAAAAAAAAATTCTTATGTAACTAAGTTGTAGGTGGTGACTTCTGGTAACATTTCAGTATTACTGAGGAGCCAGCATCAGGTTTTCAGACAGTTATAAAACATAACTACCTCAATTAATCTGTTGAATATGATTTTGCTGTTCTTTGGAATTTTTAGTAAGAGAAGTGTACAATATCTGCATTTTGAAAAACCAAGAGTCGTCTAAAAAGCCCTAGGAAGAACTTCGAAGTATTTTTTAGTTTTAATGCAGAGCAGTTTGTAAATCTTCTTTATTCCATGCCCCGAAAAGCTTTTTCTTGCACAGGAAGGACAGGCTGCAGAAGTAGGATCATTTTTTTATAGCTGATGTCAGTATTGTGCTATTCTCAAACTAAGCCAGTGCTAGCTACAAATAAAAGGATAGAACATATTGAGAAACTGTCTAGGGAGACACGTTTACTGGGTCCCTGCTCTTTTGTTCAAGGGGTATATTACTGTTTGTAAAGCTGCACTTCAATCATTTCCTTGACTGAACACTATAACCCTTTTGCCTTTTTCACCTTCCCTATATTTTTAGCTTGTTGAAACATCAATAGTTCTTTCCATCTGTTTTGGAAAAGCAAATTTCAAACTGGATACTGCAGTAGTTTAAGTGTGTGCTCTCTTTTTCTGTTAAATTCTTTACTACTTATAGGCCTTTGTTTAAGATTTTTTAGGAGGAGTTTTAACAACCAATTTACATATGACTATAAAAGGAATTTAACTTTTCATTCTAAAAAAATACTGCAAATTCATTTATAGATGGTTAGAAAAAACAGGACAATTCTTCTATCCTAATATTAATAAACAGTATCAAATAAAAACTTTCACGCAGATTTTAAAGATGATAATTGAAAAGAGACATTTTATTGGAACAAGAAGTTTAAAAGCCCTTTTATGCATTTTCTCATATCTCTTAACATCTTCCTGCATTGCACTACTGGCTTAAGAGTCAAATAGCTAAAACTTCTGAGTGAGAATAACTGAAATAATGTCTTTGAATCTACCATTATTTTTTTTTTTAATAAACCAACAATGGTTTCACAAACTTTGCTGCAAAAAGTGACATATTTTCCTGCGGATAAGAGTATTACAGTACAAAAAATTAATACTTACATGCAGTAAGAGGTACTACTCCCAACCATGCAAAGGCCACAAGTGTATAATGAAACCAGTATCGTATTGCTGTGCCAATACTCGTAACCAGTCCAGCAAAGATGTCTTGGATTGGAAGCCGTGAAGGCATATCTGGGGAATAAACTGTGTAGAAAAGGCACTTACGAAACAGCTTTTCCTTTAAAGAAGCATTTATGTAAAAGTCCTACCAACTACAAAATGTTTGTATTTGGCAAAAGCTTACTAGAAGAATAAGCATATTTTATAGATTCCCAAGAGATGACCCCAAACAAATAACAAAAAAGCTCCACATGACACATTTGTTACATTGTGTACTGAATGGAATGGGAGAATTAATAAACTCCATGCTAGTTTTTGACTGAGAGAAGTTTTCTTAATAGCTTTATTTATCAACTGTAAACTCGGATTATCACAAAATAAGCTCAAGCCTGCAAAAAAAGGAGATTCCAAATTCAGTAGCCCTCCCACTCAGCACTATCTCAAAGACATCCCTGTCTGTTATTGATAAACCCAGTTCAAGGAAAGAGCACAAGGAACAGCAAGAGCAATTTTGCGTATTGTCAATTTGTTTGTGCTCCACAATGTAGATTCCACTTGCTATCAAACAGCACACAAAAGATATCAGCAAAATGAAAGCACCATACAGACACGAAAACTGAATGGAACTGATTAAGTACCTAGAGACCTTGAAATTTACACAGAACAACTTTTACTTTCAACAGAAATCTATTTCATACCATGTAAGATTTCTTCTAAGGTCACTCCTATTACAGAACATAATGCAAATCTCTCAGCCCGTACAGACATTTTCATAACAGTAAATTTTCTTGACTTTTAAAATTCAACACCCATATATTACATAAACCCATCCCTACTAAAAAAGCCAAGAAAAACAGTGACAGTGCTGCTTCTTTTGCAAACAATTAGAAAATGTCTATCTCCGACAATTTCATTACCTTTAGTTAGCTTCTACATACTCACATGGATGCCAAGAAGTGGGAATGCACTGTATCAGTGACAGATTTGAGTAAAGATGATAAACTACAGTCAGGAGTTGCACAAAGACATTGCTGCCTGGATGTTTAACAGTTACATTGGAAACAGCTGAGCTTGAAGACTTCAACACATTTAATTAATGGGAATATTTTTTAAAACATCACGTACTTTTAACTACATAAGGAAACTCAATTTTTGTAAGAACTACTACAGAAATGTTTTCTTTCCCTCTCATGGACAATTCTTTGACTTAAAAGTCTGAGAAACACTGCTTCATGCAATGTACCTGCATCCTCCCTTTTCTCTAACGAACATCTCTGCTACCTTTACAGAATCATAGAATCACAGAACAGTTTTGGCTGGAAGAGAGACCTTCAAGATCATCGAGTCCAACCTTTGTCCTAGCTCTACCAACACCACTAAACCATGTCCCTAAGTACAACATCTACCTGTCTCTTAAACACCTCCAGGGACAGTGACCCCACCACCTCCCTGGGCAGCCTGTTCTAATGCCTGACAACCCCTTCTGTAGAGAAATTCTTCCTAATATCCAGCCTGAACCTCCCCTGGTGCAGCTTAAGGCCATTTCCCTTTGTTCTGTTGCTTGTTACTAGGGAGAAGAGATCGACCCCCACCTCGCTTCAACCTCCTCTCAGGTAGCTGTAGAGAGCCATAAGATCTCCCCTCAGCCTTCTCTTCTCCAGGCTAAACAGCCCCAGAATCCTCAGCCGTTCCTCATATGAGACATGCTCCAAATCCTACATTCTTAATCATCCTTTTATTAATTTCAGAGAGCAAGCCTCTACAGGGAAAAAAACTCTTCTCTCCAGGGCTATTTCCCTAAGTTTCTGTATTGTAAAGAGAACTCAAGAACACACAAAAGCAGTATCAACATGCAGAAGTAGCCAGACCCTGAAGAGTTCAGTGCATTTCAACAACATGTGGATGATACTTGACACAAAGTAACAACAAAACAGTAACCATAAGACAAATAGTAACTGGTTTTAACTTTCAAAGGTTCTTAGTTATCAGGTATCTGGCAAGGAAGCCAAATCGGTAAAAAAAGGACTGAAAAAGTTAACACTAGGGAAACACAGTTGTGAGAACATAGAGCAGTAAATTGAAAGCAGGACACAAACATATTTACAATTTTCTTATTACTGAAACAGATTTAGTATACAATTTGGTAGTACCATAGAAACTGCCAACTGAAGACTTATTAATGATCTCTAAGCTCACACTGAACAACCATTCCGGAAAATTATCAGAGGAGACAAGCAGACCTTTGATATGGGTGCTACAAGAATACCTACCTAGAGTATATTTATTACACATTTATGGTATCACTCAGACAAAACTGAACTCAGCAGATACTTCGAGGCTTATTTTTTTTTAATTTTCAAAAAATACATTTTAATCAACACTTTGGAACTGCAACAGAGCCTACAAGGAAACTATTAACTCTGTATCAACAACGTATTTGTAAGGGGGAAGTTGGGAGGGTTTAAAATTCTTTAAAAATAAAAATCTGCATCTTTAAGGAATTACTGAATAGGGGATTGTAAAACACAGGGGATTTTAAAAAAGGATGCTCATCCTAACTCAGTAAAGCTGAAGTGGTTATAAGTGTTAGCACCTCAACATACTAATTTTTCTAAAGGCTTTAGGAGTACAACCAAGCATTCAAATAAATGAACAATGTAGCTACTACTTGGAGAACATGCTACATCCCCCAAATTTTAACAATTCTGTGACTTTTGATGATTTCAGGAGCTGGGGATGGGGCAGGGGGAAGACTGCTGGTTTTCTTCTGCTTTGTCACACCTCAAAATACATAAAGCTTCTACCATTAGAAGCTTTATACCATGACGATAAGATAAAGCCCTTCTATGTCCTACAACATTCGGGTGGGTGAAATGCAAAAATTCCTAGCACGACAGGGATGCCTAGTGTGCGAGCACACTGCACCACTGAAGTTGGCTGCCAGTGACTTTCACAGCTAACGCCCCCACTCGTGTCTGTCATCTACTGCCATTTTCTCCCCACATTCCACCCCCTTTTCTCCACTACCACTCTGAGGCCCAAGACTTCGACGCCTGCCACCGCAGTATACATCCTCTTCATTCCCTTTTGCACACTTGTCCTCCTCATCCTTCCTCCATCCCAGTAATCTTTCCCAGCTCAGTTTGAGAAATCAAATTTCCTGCATTATTTACCACAGTTCCTCCAAATAAAAGAATATCTCTACTAGAGGCAAATTAAAGTAATAGCTTTTTTCTACTACAGCATGAAATTCAAACAGCATAAGTGAGCTTTCACAGCTCTAGTTCAACTTCTTCGAGCTGCCCAGGCCATGGCAAAAGTACTAGAAAACTTCAGATACTCAGGTCACACCTGTGACATGTAACTGCTATTTTACTCATGAAACTAGGACTTGGGTGGGTTTGGCTTTTTTTGTTTATTTGGCTGGTTGTTTTCTGGGGGGTGCTTTTGATCCTCTACCGCCTCCGCCCCCCCCGCCCCGCCTAACTTCTTCAGGAACACAAATAGTAATTTTGCTTCTCCAAAGCAGACAGCTCAGAACAAAAATATGCTATTACATTGGCACAAATAAGGTAGGAAAACCACAAGGCTGTCTTTAGAAATTTTGCTTCTCCTAGAAAAAAATAAGGAAGAAGGCAGACAATAATGATAAGTAGTTTTCAGGGAAACAGTTTGGTAATAGATTTCAGCTGTCAAAAAAATCCAGAACAGGAAAGCGGAAAAAAAAAAAGTTCCCAATGCTCTAGCTTACTAAAGCAAAAACTTTAAGTTCATTACAGGAAGCTTTCTCATCATTCCCATTTCCTCAGAGGCTATTTAGTACAAACATCACACAACTGTACTTTGACAAACACAACAGGGACAATCTGCTGAACTGGAACGCTCTAATTCCCACCAAACTTATGAAGACATAAACCAAACACTTTCACTTTAACCTCTCTTTCCCAATCTTTTCAAAGTACAAAAACCCAAACAAAACCTATACTACCCACATATTTTCTCTTGCAAGGAGATAAGAGAGATATTTAGTCATCACATGGACAGCAGAGAAAGGAGCTCTCATCAGAGCAGTATCTGAGCAATAACAGGTGCTGCTTGAATACCAGTATGTTCTGGTATGATAATGTAATATGTAATGATAATTATAAACATTAGCAAACCTGGAAAGTTTCAGACTCCACTTTTGTTGCTTACATTAAAAAAAGAAAAAAGAAGAAAAAAAGAAGCAGCAACATCAGAAGCACTGGCACTCTCTGTAGTTATAAATGCTGCTGTACAATAGAAAAAAAACGACCAACACAGAACAGCAGGCTCTTCCTAATCCTGAAATTCTCTTGCTCCTCTTTCCTCTCCCACACTGGCAGTAGAATCCCTGTACAAACCCACCTGCACAACAAATCATCAGCCATGCGTAGTAAACAGTCACAAGGCAATGGCTGAAGGGTTTCCCCATCTCCTAAGGGTTTACTCCCAATGAATTGGAACAGGTTGTGCAAGTTTAAATATGTTTACCTCCCCCATTTATGGCTAATTCCACTACAAGGTAAAAAGTGGATGCTGTCTCAAGCATGCAAACGTTTGCAGAAAAGTCAGATAGATGATAATTATGCAGTAGTATAAAATACAACGGAAAGTTATCCGTAGTTTTCATGTCACTGGTCAGTAGCATTTTGAAAATGCAAATCTTCCCCCTAGAAGGAAATAAAGATTCTAAATGTGTTTTCCCAGTTTATGTTATACCTACAGATTTCACAACTCCCACAAGTCCCTTTCTATAGTGCATCATCTTACTTTTCACTGAGGGAAGCAGAGCTGCAGAAAGGCAATAGAAAAGCAACAGCCTTCTGACATATGCTGTACTAAAACAGCCCCTACCACTATTCGTTATGAAGGCTCAAATTTTTTTAATAGTCTTATTTTTCTCCACAGCTGTCAATGCAACTGTATCCTATTTCATTTCTCACACTTTCCCTATCCGAGTCAGGCTATTTATTTGACCATATCCTAAACATGCCTACCGTGGAAGAAAGAAAAACATCTTTCTTTGGTGAAAGAGGGAAAACTGTCATTTAGTCTACTTCACAGAATCTCCACGCTCCCAGAAAATCTATGGGTAAGAGGACTATTTACTATTACACTTGCAAGCCATTCATATGCCACCTCAATCACCCTTGTGCACCGATCATGAAATAAGACTATGTAACTCATAAGTAAAAAACATGTGTTTTATAGCTCATGGGTTAAAGCACTGGTTTGGTACAAGAGGGGTTGTGAGTTATTCTTTAGGCCAGATGAGATGATCTTCAAAAGACCCTTCCAACCCCAACCATTCTATGTTTCTGTTTTACACCCTTGAGACATGCACACTGCTCCAGACTGCTAAGGTAAGAGGAGACAAACGCCACCCCTTCTCATGCAAGCCACGGGCCTAACAAAACATATGAAATAACACTCAAATGCATCTCAACTGCACGTTTATGCTGCAACCTGGAGCAACCATGTCCAATTCTGCGCCAGCATGTAGTATTTTGCTTCAGAAGATTATGTTTTTCCAAACTAGACTTTCTAGAAATGCTGAAGCTATGGACTACTGTGTTAAAGTCTACCCAAATGAACAGGTAAAAAAATTAGCCCATTATATCCTTCAATAAAATCTTAACTACTTCAAATAATGAGCCAAACAGTATATTTCAGTATAATTACATAGCTTCTTACAGATAATTTTGTACAAAATTAAAGATCCAAAAGTTTGGTACTTAATAAATCAAGTGTTACTACAAGCAACATGCAATTACTAAGTGATGTTTTTGGCTTTAAAATATGAATATATAATCTAATATTTTACAATTATGTCAGAGTGATATTCATTTTTCTTTGCCTTAAAAATCTATGAAGCATGAACGCTTTCACATTAAGCTAGACATGCTAGTCACATCCAGAAGGTTTTTATGATCAAAAAAGCATCAAGGTTTATGGATTAATTAAAAACCCCCATAACATTTAATACTTAATGTGAAGAATCTCGGTGTGCTATATCCTATAGCTGATGAGCTTGAACAGTCCAAATGATTAACAGGAACAAATAGTTCCTGATCCAACAAACTTCCGTATTTACAGTTTCATATAACAAAGGTGGCAAACAACAGGAAAGAGGAAGAACAGTAACAAACGAGGATTACAAGACAAACAGTGAGGTCCAAGCGCATGCAAGGCTTGAATTAGTAACTTCGCATGCATAAATCAAAAGCTTATTTCAGATTATAATAATTTATAAACTGAAGAACATCCTACCCATGTGGCTTCCTTCCATTTTACAAGCTTTGTATTACATAAGCCTGTGACATTGTATCGACCACTTAACAGCAATGCAGCTGCTTAGGAAGTAGAGGAATGAGCCCATCCCAATCTCCAGCCAAAGATCAGGCTAGTTTACTTCCATATTTGTATTTTTGAAAATATTTATGTTAATGTTACCTTCTACAGAAAAGAGAAATTTTGAAAACTATCTTCTCAAGGGAAATTCAGCCTCACCTTTGTTCATGGGTCAGTGTTTACGAATGCCTAGTGTGACATCAAGAAAAGTGCTTCCTACCACATGACAAAGCAAAGCGCATGTGTGGGGAGGGAAATAAAGAGTAGCTGCTCTTTAAAACTCTGAAAGAAAATATAAGTGTTTAAAAAAAAAAAGTAGTTTTGGACTTTTTTTGGAAGTATGTCAAGGTGCTTGCGCATTTTTAACAGTATTAATTCTTAACTTGAAGAACTGCAGAAAAGGTATGAATTTGAAAACATATAAAATTTAGCTTCAAATTGTGCATTTCAAAATTGAATCATTTGCCTACATGACTAAACATTTTTAGAGAATGATGCTGTTATTCAAACGAAAAAATCAGTTCCTTTGTACTCCTGCCAAATGCAAGTCGAACTTCTACTCTCTCCTTTCTTCCTTGCAAACAGTAACTAACCTAGTAGCTCAGGTGCTAAAGAAGTCACAAGTTGTTACAGGACTTAAAGATCATAAAGAACTTAAAGAATATATGCACTAGGAATATTTTATGAATACTCCATACACAGAAATTTATACTAGCAAAAGAGTACTTTTGACAGTATGACAGCAACAGCCTTAACAAGCAAACCAAGCTAAACTAAAAGAGGAGTTGCTGGTATTACTGCACTATTATGCCCATCTTAGTGCCTGTCTGTGGAAACACAGATACTAATTATGTATGTGCGTTTATTCGATCACATCCTGTGGTGCATCAACTTACCTGAAAGTGCTTCACACCTGGCATGGTTATAGGCCAGACCCAACTTTGTTTTGGATGACTGGCATATACATCAATCCCATCTCTGCCTTATCATTCTCTCCCCAGCACCTGTGACACTTTCCCAGCTCCCACAAGCACATACAGCTTCCAGACTGGGCATCCACATTATTCTCCAAATAAAGAGGGATAAGGTAAACTAAGGAAACCACAACTGCATGAGCGTTGGGTGCAAGGGAGACTATGAACAAGACACGCTGGGTGGAGAGGGCCGAGGGAATCTGCGCTAGGTGCCTGACATAGGCTGCTACTGTGCACAGCCTAGTAGGAAAAAAAGCACACTGTGCAGTGCAGAAAGCCAAGAAGATAACGTTATCAGCTGAGGGTGTTCAGTCTGGGGAGTGGCCAGTATGGGACAGGAAGATAAGCAAACCTTTGCTAGAGGCCGAACATGGAGGAAGCACCCTATCACACAGGGAAGAGGTTCGCTTATTATCAATTCCAAGGTTCCTATGATAAACAGCAACTTGTTAAGCCACAGTAATTCGATCAGGTTTTCTCACGTGTCTGTAATATGCAACCACTTTACAAGCTGTGCTGGTAACAACTATGTCAGTCAAGGATAAAACTTCTGCAGGAACACCTCTGTTGATAAGGGCAGTGAATAAGCTTTCTATTATCAATGGTAACACACATTTAAAGTGCATTTCATTTAGAACTGCTGTCCCAGTTTGGCTGGGATAGAATCACAGCCCAGCCATGCTAGGCAGGCCCAAGTCAGCCAGGGCAGCTGACCTGAGTTAGCGGCAGGTGTAGCCCATCCCGTAATGTCATGGTCATTATAAAGGGGGAAGGTTTGCTGAGGAGAAGTAGCTCCTGTTGGCTTCCTGTTGGGGTTCCTCTGGCTTCTCCCTGCTCCTGAGGACCGCTCTCCTGTCAATTGTGATGGCTGCATATTCACTTGGCTGAGTGTAACTGTGTACACCTTTGTTGGTCCTGGTGCTGTTTCATTAAATCTGCTTTCACTTCAACCCAGGAGTCTGCTCTCCTTTTCCCTAATTCCACTCCCTAGCTTGTGAGGGGTTGTCGGGTGATAAAGCAACTGCTATAGTTTAGCCCCAGGTACAAGCTAAATATAAGCAACTTCTCATACTCTTTTTTTTCCTATATCCTAAGGAGCAACCTATACACTTTTGGTGTTTGTGGGTTGTGGGTTTTTTTTTCCATACAAAACTAGAAAGTCTTATTTCTTCTTAATAACCAGTAAATCACTGAAATGCAGTTTTCTGGTCTTGCACACTGAATTCTGTAGAGGACCTAGTAGCAGAATGCAATTTTGAAAGTAGCTAACTAACTTGTAGGGAGCTCCAGAACTGGGAACTCTTAATTTGCAAAGCTTCCAAATAGAAGTAATATAATGTTTTTATAAAAAAATTTAACAACTAAAACCTGTAAGTAGATAACATCTCTCTTACATCTCTTATAGAGGTCACTGTAGAATTTAAAACGAATAACCTGAAAGCATTGCTGTGATGAACACAAAATATGCTGTTCTCCTCACAGTGATAAGACAGAGTTAATATTGTACATTCCACTGCTGATCACTTATAAAATGGTCTAATGTGTTTAATTAATTGTTGACAGAAACAGAAAATTCTGAGGTTCAACATATAGAAGGAAGGTGGATTACAGGATTTTTGGAACAGGAAACACATGAACTAAACCATTTGGCTCCTTAGCCTGTTTTCTCTACCAATGTAAAAACGAGTAAAAACAAACCAAAAAAGGTGAGAGGGGAGCAGGAGATAGGATGAGTGCTCTATCCTTCTAACTGGGACCAGCTACCCTGAAAAAGAGCTCTGATTCTTACTGTACCACACACCTGAAACAGTCAAACCCCAACACCTTTCCCAACTCAAGGCAGCTTGCACAGTGCAGGTACTCATCAGTTTAAAAAACATTTAAATTTCATATCTGCATCATAAAGAACGGACCTTAGCAGTTGTAAAGAATAGATCAGCACAAATAAATCTAATAAGAAAAATACATAGCACAAGAACCACTTTACCTGTTCAACAGGCAATAAATCAGTGATACTAAATAATGAGCCTAGATTGCCATCAAGACAGAGGACCTCATTTATTTCTACTTCTATTCGCTAAAATGCAACTAAGAATCCTCTGGAAACTATATAAAGTTTACATTCGTTCTTCGTCATAAGTTGCCTAACTTATTAGTTGAATCTAACGTAAAAGGTGATGTAATACTGAGTAGTTACTGTATCTTGACTGAAATGCAAGTGGAATAATTATCATTTGCATTATATGTCAAGATCATTTGAATTAACACTGACAGAAGTCACATAGTAGTGTTGCAGGTGGGTAGTACAAAGGTAACTGAAAACTGAGTTTCAAATTCAAATTTTGCTGAGGGTTCACCTTAACATTCAGACTTACAAACACTCAAATTTATCAATGAAGCTGAATACATGCTATACACTGTAATGTTGTCAATAAAAGAATGGGACTGAGGCAGTCAGAAAAGGTACAGCATAACACTTCTTTTATGGCTCATGTTAAGACTATGGAAGAAGCAGATTATCCATTTTTTAAACAATTCACACAGCCTGTAATAATAAACATCAAACCTGCAATTCAAACAAGAATATACAAGTTCAAAACAAGTTTGGATCTATCATGCTGAATGAAAAAGTAATCACTTCATACATACCAAAAGAAAACAAGAAATTCTGAAAAAATAGGAGCAGTAAAACATACTCACTTGGTGTGAAAGCAAATCTGTGCTTACATAATTCACAGTATTCTTTTCTGCTGTGTTTAAGCCACTGAACTAAGCTGCAAAAAAAAGTGATCATATTAACACATGCTGTTACATCTTTCTGCCTTATCCCTCTGTTAAAATATATCAATTATTTATTTTCAAACATAAATCAGGTACTATCAAAGCAGGACAAATTAGCATGTTTATTAAGTCCATCTAGGCCATCAAGTAAGTTTCAAAAAGTAAAAAAGGTAAACTGACTATGAGCAATAACAACTCTTCCATTTCTTCACTTACATTACTGATAAAGTACATTCTTTGAGTACGTTATTGAAAAGGCTAATAACTCAAAGCATATATCCTGACATGGACACCCACTAGTGACCCAATTCTTATAAGTATTTCAAGATATGACACATATACGCACACAGGTAAGATTTAGAACTGTTGCCTTTGTGAAAGAATGGCTATTAAAATCGCATCAATGGAATGTGTGCTATAGACCAGAATTACAGCTTTCACTTTAGCATTTCCCTGATCAAACATACACCTCAAAATGACCAAGTACCAGAGTATTTTTATTTCTTGCTATAATGTTAAATGTGCTTTTTATTCACAACTATAAGCGGGCAGAAAAAGCCCCAACATACTGATTTTTCTGCTTAGTTTTCATAAAGCTGACACACGAGCAGAACTGTAGTCTGAAACACAATTACCAGTACTTTTTTTTCCTATACAGTTACTAAATTCTTTGTGAACTGTAATGAACCATCATGTAAAAACCATCAAAACCCGTAACACATTTCCACTGAAAATGGGTTTTTCTTACCAGTTAACCTGAAGACTTTAGTACTGTTTTTTGAAACATGTTAATATGTTTTATTAAAAAAAAAATACTTAAAAACCCCACAAACACAGAACTCACCATTCCTGATGAATAAATTTAATACTGCCAGTACACACACATGGATGATAGAGGGGTTTCTCTGGAGTTCCTTCAGACCGACAGACTCTGCATATATCTGCTGACAAAGACATGAAGCTTATTATGCTACTGCTTAAAGAACTCACATTTGCAAGACAAGCTATACAAACAAAAATTCTAGAAACTCTGCCACATAGCAAAATGAAGCCAGAATAAATTGAAAGAGGATGACAGATTTCATCTGATGCAAGACATAAAGACTGAGAGATCACCAGAAAAAGCAACAAGAATGTCACCTGCCTGATGAAGTTACAGTCCCAAAACCTGTCTCATTACATTTTTAAGATTTCTAGGAAATAGACACAGTAAAACTACGTGCAGAGGTGCTCTTTGCCTAAAAAAGTTATCACTAAAACAACATATAGATTGTTAAGGATAATCTTCCTGGAAGTGGAGACTTTGAAACAGAAAAATTCCAGCTGAGTTTTGAACAAGTTAAATAAGAGGCTGAGGAGAAGAGATTTACTCATGTCTAACAATGACTTAAACACGCCATTTGCTACTCTTGAACCTAACATGGGTGTTCCTTGGTGCTCTTGAAGAAAGGGAAAAAACCCATCCTAACACAGAGAAATGGGTATTTTGGGAGTTTGCTGCCTGAGTTGAATAAGGCCACCCATTTAGCAGCCTACGGTCCAGTCACAAGAGGAGAGATTTTCTCTTTCTTATTTAATATTTCCAATTTCAGTAATATTTCAATAGATCCCACACTTTCTTTATTCTCTATTTTTGATGTTTTCTTACAACTGAAGATTGCAAGATATTTTGTGGGCAAAGTAGTAACTGGTAGGTGCAAACCTCCCCCTCTAAAGAATAGATGTCTATTTTAATACCATTTGGTTATCCAGAGCATTTAAACACACAAATAAACATAAATAAAAATCAAGATTTGATTTGCTTATGGACAGACACATGGCACCTTCCCTTCACTCCTTCTCTTACTTCTACTAAGGAAATGAACATTTTTATAGAAGACAAGTTTAGGGTTTTCTCTCTTGTTAATTATTTCTCCATCAAGCACCATTCAGCAAACCAGCAAGAGTGTAACAGATACACATCTGAGATATTTGTTAGAAAAATACAAAATTAAAGTACTGATGTAAGAATACTGAAAATATGCAATTTCAAGACTGAACCACCTATCTTTGTTCCTGGGTGAAATATACAAAAGTTAATGTTTTTCTACAAAAAGTTCTAAAAGATACCAAACATTAAAACAGGAATGTTTTCTATAAAGAAGTCACAATATGACCATATCCATAGTCCGCACAGTATTAGAACAGTTTCTACACATAAAGCATAAGAATTCAAGTGATTCTGAAGAAAAAAAATAATTTTCCATCTATAAAAGAGGGACTTGAATTCATTCACGCAGGCCAAAACCCCAGAATTAACAGAAACACATATTCAATACCACATCAATGACGCTACGAAGAGACATAAAGCGTACTGCCATCACAGCCGTACCGAGGAGCAACGTATCGCTGCAAACATCAAGAGCCCCTGGTTTCTCTGCCCACAAGAATGACCAGCACCGCTCCTTCACCTGACAAACGGTCCCTTTATCCTAGCGAGTATTTCCAGATGGCTGCGCAGGACACGTCTCTTCAGCCGACAGGCAGGACCAGCCCACTCGCTGTGCCATGCCCACCTTCCTCCAGCAGCTAACAGAGCTATTCCACTACAGGAGGCTGACAGCTCTGCACGGCAGACCAGCCTCACAAAGGGTCAGACAAGCACTAGAGCCAGTAGAAGAGACAGGATGTGAAACCGCTGCTTTAAGAACGCTCTCTGGCACCAGCGAGAGCAAGTTAAAAGCACACTGTTCTCTGAACTTGCTCGTTAATGGTCCATTGGCTTTCACAGCAGATCATTCACTTATTCTCAAGAATGTCGGGAAAAAACATAATATGCTTTACTGAAAGCAAAAGAGTTCTTTATTTGGAAAAGGATTTCCTCTGTTAGCTTACTAAAATAAGTTAAACCTAAATTTCTTTTTTTTCAAAGGCTATGAGAATTTCTAGGTACTCCCACTGGTTTTATAAATCCAGATAAACACATTACGAGCCTAACGATCTGGACTGTTAAGCAGCTGATGCTTCAAATCAATAAACCCTGCTGAGGGTCAACATGTAAAGCTATGTGCCTTATGACCTATTGTCACATTCAGAGGGAACTCCGCCGTGTAATAGACGCTATTTTTCTGCTTGCACACACACTTTGCATCCCATTCTTCATGCATGTGTTTTGGAAAGAATGACCTTGGGCTACAGGAGTTCTTTTTCGTTCCCCCAGAGAATGATTCTCTGCCTATCACCTCTCTGACAGAATGTTCATCACTGCAATATCCAGAAGTGAAGATTATGTTGCTCAGCAACAAACTGATTTAAGTAGAAAGAAACAGAAGTACCTCTCACTGGCAACACCTGGCACCTGGTGCTGTCCGATGCTGCAGAGAAGCAACTCTATCATTCCTCACCAGGCGAGGAAGCTGCAACTTGGGTCTGACTGTTACTACCGTAAACCACCTCTCTTATCGGAGCTCGCACCATCCAGTTAAGCATTCTAGCTCCGTGGTGCAGTTCAGTCAAGCACAAAACCCATTAGAAACACAAGGGCCACGACACTGCCCACGGGCTATCGATCGTCAGGGAAGCCCATCTGACGCTTCGCGGCAGACGTGCAGGCACACGGCAACAGCAGAGCATGGGTTTCCCCTTCCTGACGGCACTAACGTGGCCTTTGCTGCTGCTGCTGGCGTTTAAAGCTTTCCAACCTTGGGAAGCCTCTTCAGCGTTCTGGCAAGTGTCGTGAAACTCTAACAGTGGGAACTGCGTTTGAAACTGTAGAAGTTGTAACATTCTAGTGGTATTTATGGAAAGTGAGCGTATAGACTAGTTACTTTCATCCTACTACTCAGAGCTTTTGAGGGTAACACTGCTAAGACTGCAACATAATATCCACGGCTACCTGTATGTGTCTCGGGGTGTGTGTTCACATACATATAAAACCAGAAAAGTCCAAACTCCCAGTGCAGAGTCTAACACAAAGGTTTAGTTAAAGGAGACCATGCCTGTAACAAACAGTCCCTTCTTGTTTCTCCTCCCAGTCCCTCTGTTCACCTGTTCGGGTCCTGTAAAAGCAGGTATGATCACAGACTACCTCCGTTAACAGCCTGTAACAAATTACCAACTCTGCTGTTTGAATTAAACCCACTGAGATGGATTTACCAACCACGGGAGCAGTGGGAACTCAGCTGGTCGTTTCTGAGTATTCACTTCACAGTCTGCAATGGTCCAGGTTTTCTGGGCAGCCAGGGGCCGAGCAACCCAAGTTTCACTTTGTTATCTCCACAGCGGCAGTAACTGCTGGTCTGCAGAGGCGTGGCGGAGTTGGCAGCAAGCAGTTTTAAAAGTTGTCAGATTTTAAACACACTAATATTTTGGTAAACCATCTGTTTTCACAAGTGCTAAAGATGTCCACAGCACAACCCAAGGGACATTTCTACAAAGGTGCTGTCTTATTTCATCCGGTGTTTCATGTTTTTCCAGCTTTTTTTTTTCTTTTTAATCCTCTTAAGCTGGAAAACCAAGTGCCACCCGACAAAAAGCTACGTTCAAAATGATGCCGAAGTAACAAAAGCCAAGACACAAAATACTTTCCTTGGAACTGTCTTGCCACTGCAATGTATATTTGTCGTTCTTGCTTAAGATGACAAACAAAGCTCAAATACTGCCAGAAACAGAGCATGACACGCATCCTTTATTTATTTTGGTTTGCACTGCGACGCAAAGTCCTGGTTTCTGAAAGTTGTGCATGATCAGCTTGAACTACGCAGCTCCTCAGCACCACCTGAGCAGAGCGAAAGTGCTGACAAAACGCACCCACGTTTGACCTCAGGTAAAGCCATACCCTTAAAAACGGGCACCACGCACCGAAACCCCGTGCCTACGGTCTCTTTGACAACTTCTCTCCCCAAACGAGGGAAGTGACTACGCATCAGTCTCTCGCAGCAGACGCAGAGAAGCACGCCGGCTCCTGCACCACGGTACCACGCCGGCGGCTCAGACGCCCTTCCCGGCGCACGCACCGACGCTAACCCCGC